TTCATGTGTGTATCCAGTTACTCCTGCATTATTTGTTGAAAGTTCTACCACTTGATTCCTTGATTTACCTTGAACTCTGTCAAACATCAAGCTACTGTGAGATATATACATAATATATATAGTCGTCCCTCACTATATAGTGGTTCACTTATTGTGGCTTCACTGTATCCAAGTTTTTTTTAAAAATATACCTAATTCTGTATCATGGAGTTTTTGCTATATTGTGGGATTTTGCAGTATATAGGTATTTATATAATATTTATGATTTTAATTATTTTTGCCTAAAAATTTTTAAACAATATAAAAAATATTAAACATGCTAACTCAAACATATTAAATGAATATTAAATCAAAATAAAATACAGTATATATTTCATCAGTGGATGGATACTGTACTGTACACAATGGAAATACACTACTGCTTGCACAAATTTGCCAATGTGAGGTTGTACACAGCATGCTATTGGCTGATGGAGTGGAAGGCGACCTATCACAGCACTGTGTTATGTGTCCTGGGCACTGATTGGCTCAGTGACCCTAGCGTCAGTCTGTTTGCACTCCCACACTGTGCCCATATGTTCAGCATCTCTCCTTGTCCACTTCACATCAAGTACCCACATAGAAATTTACATGTGGTTAAAATGACATAGGTTTAAGAGTATAGAAAGTGTTTAAGAGCATATGAAGTGTTTATAAGACTGTGGAAAAGGTTAATAAGAGAGTGGAAAAGGTTTACTGGAGTGTAGGAAGGGTTTATAAACCCTTAAAATATATATAAAGAATAAAATAAATATAACACCACTACTTCATGGATTTTCACCTATTGCGGGATCTCTGGAACGGAACTCTCGCGATAGGTGAGAGATCACTGTAGTGCTTAAACAATATGGCAAATGTTTAAATTCTAAAAAAAAAGACAATAAAAGACACATTGCCATTAATCCCTTTCAAAATATTCCCTTTTGCTTCGAACACACTTTTATTATTGTTCTTACCATTTTTGGAGCTTTTCTGGAAGTACTTGTCAGTAGCTCAAATTGCGTTGTCATAGCCATCTCAATGCTCTGAATTCTTTCAAAAATTTACCTTTCACAGTCATTTGGACTTTGGGAAAGAACCAGAAGTCACACAATGCCAGTGAATAATGTGAATGAGGACACATCATAATTTTTTTATCGGACAGTAATAGCTATAAATATTTTAAACTGATGTAGGAAATCAAGGTGTCCATAAAAAGACACAGAAGAGCACTTCCAGAACTGCTTCAGAAAATGGCAAGAGTGATGGGATAAGTGTGTTCAAAGCAAGGAGGCATATTCTGAGGTGGATTAATAGCAGTGCATCTTTTACGGTAACAAATTGTATAAAAATCTAAATTTCACCATATATTTCTTATCTCATATATTATATATGGGTCTATGCCTAGTCTGTTCTATTCTATTGATCTATATGTCTATTCTTATGGAAATTTATTATCCTTAATTCTGTAACTTTATGGCATCTTGAAATTACTGTGTGTTTTCTAACATGATTCTTAATTTTCAGGATTGTATTGATTATCCTGGGCTCTCTACATTTTGATATAAATTGAATAATCAATTTCTAAATATTTACAAAAGACAGTTTATAAAGGTTTTGATTGAAATTATGTTCAATCACTAGAAGAAATCTGGAAAATCAAAACATTTTAATAACACTGATTCCTCCAATCCATGTATTATCTGTATAGATAGATAGATACATAGTACTTTAATTTTCATCAGCAATGTTTGAGTAATAGTCTATGTACCAGTATTATATGTTTTGTTAAATGCATTTTAAAGTATTTTTATTTATGACATATTTTTTAAATTTGATTTTCCAAGTCTTCATTGTTAATCTTAAAATTGCAGTAGTGTTGTATATTGAACTTGCATCGCGCTATTTGGCTAAATTAGTCCAAGTAGCTTTTTCACAAACTCATCAAGATTTCTTCCATATACAGTAGCATCATATTTCTGCCAATAGAAAGTTTACTTCCTCCTTCCTCATCTCCATACCTGTATTTCTTTTCTTTGCTGTGTAGCTAGAATATCCACAAAACTGTTTGATCAGAGTGGTGAAAGGATACACCCTTGCCTATTCCTCAATTTAGAGGGAACTCATTCAATATCTCACTATTAATCTGATGTTAGTTGTAGGTAGCATATTCCACTTACCAGCTGAAACTTTCTTCTATTTATTTATTTGCAGGAATATTTCTTACTTATTAATTATTGTTCACTTTTTTTAAACATTTTGCTTCACATATTTATTTGCTTAATAATGTCCTATAGGTTTTGTAGGCTTCCTTTAGTGTTTTCATTTTATTTTATTATTTGCTTGTTCATTTATTTATGGGGAAGTTATTTCAAAAGAACTGTCTTCAGAAATTCTTTCTTGTTTGATGTAATCTAATGTGTTTGATGTAATCTAATGTCTGTTTGATGTAATCTAATGTCAAAACTCTCAGTTATATTTTTACTTCATTGATTAAATTCTTCAGCTCTAACATTTTTGATTAGTTCCTGTTACATCTTTACCTCTTAGTTGAACTTGTCATGCAAATCATGGATTGTTTTCTATATTTCATTGAAGCATTTATCTATATTCTCTTGCACCTCATTGAATTTCCTTAGGATAATAATTCTTAATTCCTTTTCAAGTATTTCATAGATTTCCATTAATTACATCATGGTCATTTTCTGGACAAAAGTTCCTTTGGTAGTGCACGCATCCTTGTACTTTTGTGCTTTGTCCCTATGTTGATGCCTATGGCACTGGTAAACAGTCATATCTTCCATTTTTATGCAGTAGCTTTCATGGGGAAAGAGTTTTTCATTTAGATGTGTTGTGTCAGTTCAATAGGTGCTTTGGCTTTGGTTCTGAGTGGGCCCAGAAGTGTTGTGTCTCCGGCTATAATCCACATCAGTGGCATCTCTGAATACTTCAAGGTCTAGATTAAAGGCATTTCTGGAAGCACTGATACAACATTACAGTGGAGGTTAGCCACTGGTGTTGTGCATGGCCGACACCTCCATGCTGAAGGCTGTGGCAGCAGTTAAAAATATGTATTGGGAAAAGGACAGTCTCTTCAATACGAGATACTGGGAAAACTATATCTATAAATCCAGAAGAATAAAATTTAACCCCTGCCTCTCACCATATTAGAAAGTAAACTCAAAATGGGTCAAAGACTTGAATGCAAGACGTGAAACTATGAAACTGCTAGAAGAAAACATACAGAAGCACTTCAAGACATTGGTATATCCAAAGATCTTTTGGACAAGAACATAGGCAACAAAAGCAAAAAATGGGCAAATGGAATTATATCAAATTAAGCAGCTTCTGCACAGCAAAAGAAATGAGAGGGCAAAGAGAACAACCTACAGATGAAGAAAATTTTCAAATTGAAAGGATTAGCTTCAAGAATATAAGGAACTTGCGTTAGCTTTCTGTCACCATGACAAAATACCTAAAATAATAAACTTATAAGAAGAAAAGGTTGGGTCACAGTCCTGTAACTTCCTATGATTGGTCAGTTCACCTACTGTTTCTTGGCCTGCAATCAGGCAGTCACTCATGGCAAGACCATGGGGAAGATGAAACCATTCACCTCCTGGGATAAGACAGAAGGCTTTGGTATCCCAGTATCCCCTTCAAGGGATGCCCCCAGTGACCAACTTCCTCCAGCTAAGTGCCACCTACAAATCACAGCAAAGGCTGGAAACCATGCTTTTGATAGATGGGGATTAAAGAAACACTTTCAAATCATAGCAGAACTCACTCTGTTATAACTTGTGTGTAGATGTCCCCACAAAGCCTCGTGTGGTTATACATGGAGCTTTTCAGAGGTGGCTGGATCTTGAGTGTGTGACCCTGGGTTAAATGTGTGTGATCACTAAATCAGTCCACTGATTAATTTGGAGTAGTTCTGTGTATGGGCAATGGGAAGTCTTTGTAAGCGGCTCCCACCCTAAGGATGTGTAGCCTTGGTAGAATATAAGGGACAGAGAGGGGGCTGCTGTTGCTGCTTTGCTACTTCTCTACTTTGCTGCCTTCCTGCCTTCTGCCTGCAATGAACTGTTTCTCTTCTGTGATGCACCTCTGCCATGCCACCCTGCCTTGGAGTTAGCCAAATATGAACTGAAACCTCTACAAACTGTGAGCCAAAATAAACCTTCCTTCTTTTAACTTTGGGTGTTGGGTATTTTGTCTCAGCAATGAGAAGAGTAACCAAGACACACTCAAACAACTCGACAGCGTGAAAACAAGTAACTCACTTGAACAATGGTAAATATGTGTATGGATTAATGATGGCAAATCTTTTAGAGCTTTTAATGATAGAAATAGTGGGCTGTGACATGCCTGCCATAGGTTCACCACCACTGGTATAGATATTCCTCAAAAGAAACCATGTTCTTGGTCTATATTTTAGATGATATGAGGTTAGTGGTATATGGGGAGGTGGGCAGCCAATTTATCTTTTAATTCAAAATTCAAAGATCTCTGAACCAAAGGAGCTATATTATCCAGAGTTCCTAGACTTTGTCCTAACTGTGGTACCTGATTGGAATTCTGGGTTTTCTCCTTCAGGCAAGGACCACACAGATATTTGGTGGCCAGAGGGCAGCCTGTGGCAGAAAGGGCTGGCCTTTCCCTTTGTATTAGTTTCTTGCTGCAGCCTCAATGATTACAATCACCACTGCCCTTGAATCCATTGTGGACCAAAGCCTTCTGGTTTTTCTCTTAAGAGGGTGCAAGGAAAGTAATGCATGCTTTGCCAACTGTATTTTCTCCCTACTGTATGTTGTAAACAAACCTGCCCATGGCTTATAAAGTGCTTGGTATCCTCTGTAGTGAAAAGGGTCAGTGCATAACAGCATTATTGTTTCACTACATTAATTAATAATTAATGTGTAAAAAGTAAATGAAACTGACTAAAGATTTATGAATGCTCTCTGAGTTGCCCAGCCCAAATACTATTCATTGAAGTTTAATGGTATTAATATGTGTGCATCTTCAGTTCCAGTGAGATCGCCAGTGGCCTGAAACAAGACTGTTTTGAAGTCTTTCAAAGACCCATCTATGAGTGTTCCCCATACCTAAAAAAAAAAAAAAAAAAAAAAATTAGGTTATCTGTTAATCAGGGATCTCCAGAGAATATCAAACAGAATGTGTATATAGAAACAAATTGATTTCCAGAAATGGGCTCACATGTGGCTGTGAAGGTTTAACAAGTATAAAATCTACTGAGAGCAGCTGGGAGACTTACAGCTCAGGAAATAGGGGCAATTGGATTCTGAAATCAACTTGCTGTAAAGCCAAGGGAAGCTGATGTTGCAGATGAAATCTGAGGCTGTCAGCTGGCAGAATTCCCTTTTCCTCAGAAGCGGCCAACCTTTTATTCTAGTCATGTCCTCAACTGATTAGATGAGGCTCATCTACATTGTGAAAGTGACCTACTTTATACAGCACTTAATTTAAAATGTAAATTTCACTTAAAGCACTTTCACAGAAACATCCAGAAAAATGCCTGATTAAATATCTGGGCATTGTAGCAGGGACAAGTTGATACATAAAATTAACCATCAAACTACCTACCTCTTTAAACAGGAAAACCTCAAAATGTTTTTGCACAGCCATGTGCAAACCAAGAGAGCTTATCTCTTATCAGCCTTGCAGCCTATACAAAAGTTCCCCTTTTACTAATTGCATATTTCATGAAAGAACCATTAGACAACGGTCAAAGCCTAATTATTTTTTTATTCTTGTGAAAATATTGTGTCTTGTTTTTATTTTTAAAATTTTAGTCCTATTATTACGATATGTTATCTCAGATTGACAAAACTGTCTGGTTTCCTCTGTTTGTGAAATGTTCTTGGTTATGCATCAGGTGAATTTGTACTATTTTACTTCTTTAAAAAGCTCACTAGAAAGAGTAAAATTATTCACATAACTATATTGTTCTTCAACTAGCAATTTGTTTGATTTATACTGACAATAAGGTGGAATCATTTTTTTGAAATTTGGACTTATTTTTTAAAATCACAAAATTACAGGAAGCTTTTTAAAAAAGAAAAAATTTAAACTAAAAGGGTACCTTAGCATTGTCATTGTAACTGCAAGCATCAATAAAATGTTTAATAACCACTAGAAAAGTAAAGCAACTGGAAAAATGGAATAACAAATTCCTACAGCAAATTTCAGAAAGCTTAAGAAAATAGCAGAAGTGATCACCAGGGAACATTATCAAACAATGAGAAATCCAATAAAACTGGGTATTAACAATAAGAAATACTCCTCAGGTCAAAGAAGCTAGGCAGAATTTAACTTCATCAGAAAAAAGCTGAACTCTTCATTTTAAACATGTTGAATATCTATAATAAAGAATTAGACACACAACGCTATTGGAGCAGTTTACTAAATACACGTAGGTGTAAAGGGCAAGAAGGAATCAAAGCAACAAATATTAGCTCCTAGAGAGGCACTTGGCAGGATGCAACTTGGCTTTGGATTGGGAGGAGGGAGGAAGTGGCCAATGCCATCTCCCAGCTGCCAGCAGCAAGGCCTTCCACAACTGGTAGCACCAGCGACACTGCCTAGAAGCAGCAAAGCAAAGATCTAAGCCTGGCATCACTGGATAGCAGCAGCAGCAGCAGCAGCCAGAACACCCAGGGGAGGGCACAGGGCCTCACAGGATGTCCCTGACCTAAGTGATGACAGCTTTGCCGGCAAGAGGGAGGCGCTGCATGAACACGCATTGTCAGTGGGAGGAGAACGAAACCACACGAGCAGCGGAGTCCACAGGTGTCAGAGGAGGCAGGAAGAGAGCATTAGCATGTGCGACTGGAGACTAACAGTTCACTCCAAAGGAAGGGTGGAAGGTGAGTCTTTGCACATGGCTAGAAATTCCAGTACAGACAGCACCCAACTATTATGATGATAGTTCAACGTAGGTTTTAAGACTTTCCAATGGTACAAAAGTGCTACGCATTCCGTGGACGTTATACTCTAAATATGGAATTTGATCTTTTCCTGGCTGGTGATAGACAGTACAATACTCTAATTAGATGCCCAGCAGCAAAGAACCGCAGCACCCAGTCGACCATGTGACCACGGAACAAGTGATACTCCGTACAGTGTATTTACTGTGTCCAGTGCTTTTTTGACTAGAGGTATTCAATTAATTACAGGAGATATTCATCGACTTACCATAAAATAGGCTTTGTGGTAGATGACTTTGCCCAGCTGTAAGCTAATACAAGTGGTAAGCTTATTTAAGGTAAGCATAGTTTAAGCTATGTTCAGAAAATTAGGTTATTAAATGCATTTTCAATTACAATATTTTCAATTGATGATGTGTTTACCAGGATGTAACCCTACTGAGCACTGAGGACCATCTCTACTCTATTTAAGGTATTACAGAGAAAATAATTATTGTGTACTTTAAAAGTAACTCCATCCCATGCCCCTTCTGTCCATGGTCTGAGGAAACATGTCTTAACATGCTACATGGGTCATGTTGGCCAAATGATTACTCTTTCCAGGAACAACATGCATTTTAACAAAGACTTAATGTAGACAACACCTTAACCTTTATATAATAAAACTTCTCTCTCACAATAATGGGAGACTCCTAGATTATGGCATCTCCACTGAGGCTCAATACCCACTTCTCGTTTTTTCCATGGCCAGAAAGCCCTATGTATGAGGTGACTCCTTGGTAAGAAAAGACAATATTTGTAGTATTTGAACTTAAATTTGGCATCCCTAAGCCACTCAGCCCAAACTCTCCTTACTACTCTTCTTCTCAAACTCTCTCTATACTGCGCAATGGAAATATTTTCATTTGTCCTACGAAGTGTTACAATAAATGCTATCAGAATAGTGCTACTTGATGAGTACAAGAAGTTACAGGAAGCCATTTAATTCTAAACTGAGAAGAATGAAGATCACAAAGGAGAGTCTTTGGCCTGATGTTTTTTCACATTTTCATTATTAATACGCAGGTACATACATTTGCTCAGTGACACCAAATACAGAAGTTAAAATGCGGTTCCAGTAACGGTCTCATCAACCACACAAGTAATAGTACAATCAGGACCGCATGGCAAACAGCTTTAAGAGAATGTACTAGGTGTCCAGTAAGTATGTAGAAGAGCAGGTTTTTCAGGTCTTCTCACTCAACCCACCACTTACGGGGAAAACTGAGGCTTAGTAGGCTATTTCTTTCCGTTCCTGATCACCCAGGAAGTTCATGACCAAACTTGATTTAGAATCTATGTTTCTCTACTCCTCAAAATTAAATCCTTCATTTCTCGATAAGATGCTAGAGATTCAGGAAAGCACGTATTGCTCATTTTCTCCAGAATCTTGGTCTCAGGGCAGCGGTCAGTCCCAATTTTATCATCCCACCCACCACGGAGCTCTAGCCAATCATGCTGAAGACTGCAGATAAATGTTGCACCACACAGCCAGGTATGGTGGTGCACTCTGGTAATCCCAGCACTCAGGAGGCTGAGGCAGGAGGATTGTCGGAAGTTTAAGGCCAGCCTGGGCTCTGTAGCGAGTTCAAGGCCAGCCTGAACTACATAGGGAGACCTTCTCTCCAAAAACAAACACAACAAAACAAAAACAAAACAAAAGTTTTGGATGCCCCTTTATACAGTCTCCATTCCCATACTAGTCCCAGAAACATCCATCTCAAAATTTATCCCATCTGTTGTGATCTAAAATGTTTGATTCAGCATAGTCCCCTCCCCATCCCCGCTTTAAGCATGTGCAGATATACACACATGCACACCAAATGCAATATCTTTTCATTTAGTGAAAATGCAAATCACATGGCTATTAAAAATATGTATAACCTTGCTCCACAGTGACATGGGTCTGTAGAAGAATGAATTTCTCTGCTCCTTATGGTGCATACATTCACAGCTAAAGTACCTCCCTTTGAACAGCTGGACATCTGGATGTCATTTGACCTAGGAGCCCTAACTGCCCTTTGGTATTATTTTTCTTTCTATTGTTGCTAAGGTCATGGGCAGGAACTAATAATCACGGACTCATTCCCTTCACATTGTTGTTAGCCAGCCAAAAATAAATGTTCTGCCTTCTCTAAACTTGCTAGCAGTTAGAGAAGCAAATGTCACATTCTTAGATCAATGAATGAAGACAAAGGTCTTTTAAAATAGCAGCCCTCGGATTAAGAACTGTTAGTTACCTGGGCACAGCGGTACACAGTTGTAATCATAGCAACCCAGGAGGTTGAGGCAGGTAGGTGACAAGCTCAAGGTCAGCCTGGGTAACTTCGTGAGACCCTATCTCTACAGAGAAGTAGGAGAAAGAGAAGCGGGAGAGGAGAAGGGACAAAGAGCAGGAAAGAGGGAGGGGAAGGGGAGGAAAGACAGAGGAGAAGGAGGAAGACGACAACAACACAAGACTACTACAAGTTACACGGAAGCTCGAGAATCGCCATGATGTGAAGCTAAGGTCCCTGTTCCCTGCGGGGTACAGAATCAGTTCCCAGTTAACCTTTTCTGACTGTACTTTTGAACACAGATGCCACACCAAGACCAGTTTATTTCCCCTGCTTTTTTAAAATAGAAGGGGCACTGCCTTGTCCTAAAAACTGACACGAATTCTTCTACACTTTGTATGCTTCCTGGAAAGTGTGATTAATCTCTCGTTTCTGTAAATCTTGGGATTTGGAACGCCAAAGGGGTAAAATACTTTTTACAGGTTTGAGACGGAGTAGAGTACATTGTTTACACACAGACAGTTCTATGATTATGCTCCTGCTCACAGACCTTATCACTCACTCTTCTATCCCCACCTCACCCATCAGATCTCTCATTTATGTCTTCCACTCCTTCCAAAACCAGTGACATCGCCATAAGCCAGCCAGACCCAGCCCTTCTAAATCTCTGCACCTCCTCCAGAGGGTAGCACACCCGCCCCCCTTTTCCTCTTCTGAGTGACAGGACCTGAGGATCCATTGCTAGAACCGCTGAATTAGAAGCATCCAACAAAATCAATAAGGAAGCATATCACTAGCACGGTGTTGAGAAACAAGACACTAAGCATTTAAAAATATGTATCACCCAAGTCAAATCCCAGACCATAAAAAAAGAAATATCTGGATGTGGGGTTCAAGTATTGGAGTTTTTAAATATCTTCCCAGGTGATGCTAAAACACTAGACAAGGTCGAGAACCACAAGCTGATCACGATATATAACCCTGGGGATTGTTGCCATGTAGGTAACACTATACTATTCCGAAGTCAGTGACCTTTTCAGGCAGACATCATTGAGGAAGGATAATAATTCAACTGGCATGAAACCTTACCTAGTTGTTTTAAAACATGGTCCTTTGACACTTCCCTTTTGAGAGGTGGAGCATGTGGCATCTCCCCCTGAACATGGGTGGCTACTTCATCCAAAACAGTAGTACAGAGTTGATGCTATCTTAGTTCCTAGGCTATGTCACAAAAGGACGGCTGTTCTGCCAGCTGAGACAGTCATTTATGATACTTTGCGCCACTAGAGAAGAGATCTGACTGCCTGCAGTCAGATCTGCATAAGGAAGATCAGCTATGTGGAAAAGCCACACACAGGGCGTTCCCCAGCCCGCTTCCCACCCAGCATCAGTGGTCACTGAATAACTGAGAGATTAACAGACTGCTTATGAGTTCTAGGACTCAAAAGCATCAATTTAATAAATATTTTGAAATGATATCTCTGGATTTGTCCATCACTTCCTTTCCAGTGTTCCTCCAAATCTAAGGTCACTTCAACTTACAATAAAATTACAAGTGTCTGGAGCTACATATTTACTTTTTTTTATTTAAATGGATACAGGCTGTTTGAGTTGAAATAGGAAAAGTACTTTTACTAGGAAAATGCCTGGAAAGTCTGTAACATAAAACCGCCTAACCTCAAGGAAACAACTGCCAAGTGTTTTGAAATAGGAGAAAAATGAATGCACTTTAATAATTTGAGGATTGGTCTACAGGTCTCCAAAAAGGTACCGATAAATTACGGACTCCATTAACATTACCTTATTTGGGGAAAGTGTCTTGCAGGCATCATTAGAGACCTTGAGATAGGATCATCCTGAACTTCCTAAGTGGGACCTAAATGCAGTCAGTGTCCTTATAAGAGACCCACAGGGACACTTAAAGACAAAAGAGGAGGTAATGTGACCACAGAGGAAGAGACTGGAGTGAGACACTCACAGGACAAAAACTGCTGACAGCCACCAGAAGCTATTTAGGCAAAGGACAGATTCTGCCCGAGCTCCCCAGAGGGGATGCGGCCACGTCAACACCTGCGGTTTTTTTTTTGTTTTTTTTTTTTAACTTCAGCCTCCTGAACTGTGAGAGAATAAATTTCTGCTCTCATAAGGCACCAGCTTGTGATTGTTAGTTTCAGAAGCCACAGAAAATTAAACCAGCTGGAAAAAGCATTTCCTCATCGAAATTTTCTGCTTTCCAATAAGAGCTGACTTTAATGAATTGCAGTTTTAATCTTTATAGCTCTACCTACAAGGTGGATTTCAGTTCGCAAGCGTTATTTCTATTATACAATATCAACTTTGTACTACTATTGCTACTTTTCTTTATGTTCAATATTTTGGATGGTTTCATGTCGTCAGTGTATGGCCCAGTGATGACTTTTAGGCTGTGTTTATGAATAATCTAAACAGAGTAAAAAAGGGAAGGACTTCATTGAGCCGGTGGTTCAAACAAGCCAATGGTTCACTGGATATCTGCCGATAGTTCTTTATACACAGGTGAGGAGCAGAGCTTGGTACAGAAAGGAGAAAGAATGACAGGTGGCCGTGCTGTAAGGTATACAGTTTACAAGTGACTGTCCGAAGACATGCTTTGAAAAAGGATGATTGAAAATTCCAGTTGAGGTCAGGGATATAGCTCAGAGGCACAGTGCCAGCCTGGCAAGCACAAGGTCCTGAGTTCGATTCCTTGTACTAAAAAAAAAGAAAAGAAAACAAAATTCCAGTACCCTACCAAATAGTTGAGCAGTACTTCTGGAAACTGTGGCTAGCAGTCATCAAAAATGAGCCAAGTATGAGCAGTTTTCATAGCTCACAAGCCTAAGGAAACACGAAGACTAAAAGTACGCTATCCTGGAAGGAAAGCCGCTGGATAAAAAGGCAATGTGAGTGAAATAATGACCTCAGTTCAGAATAATATACGCCAATGTTGGCTCACCAATTTCAATAAATGTCCTGTAACACTGGGTGGTTAAAAATGGGTACCTTCTGAGTACCTTCCCTGAAAGTGTTAAAGGCATCATATTACAGCGACACATGCCGGCCATGTTTATACCAGCCCAACTCATAACGGCTAAATCTTGGAAACACCTACATGCCCGTGGTATTTATACACAATGGAGTACTACTCTGCCACAAAGAAGGATAAGCTTGAGGCATTTGTAGGTAAGTGGATGTACCTCAAGACTATAATGTTAAGTGAAATAAGTTAGACACACAAGTTTAAATATGGCACAGTTTCTCTTATATGGGAAACCCAAAATATAAATAAAGAGCAGAATAACATAGTGAAATCTTTTTCAAATGGAAAGGGGGACAAGAGATGGAAGGGTGTGGGGGAAGGGACAAAACAAGCATTAAGGTGTTCCGTACATGTACCAACTCCCCGCGATAAATGTAATCATTGTGCACTGCAAACAGGTACTACTAAAAGAAAAAGAAAAAAAAATTAAAGGGAAAAAACCCCAGCTGCCTTTACCCACATTCATATTTTAACTAAGAAACAGGAGGAAGTGAAACATTTAACCCAAATCAGCAGTGTTGAGGAAACGCTCTTGACCGTTCCCCAGAAAGCAAGTCCTTATCATAAGTAATCTCATAAGGCTTCCCTCGCGTTCATTGTCTACGGCCATCACCGAGAACCTTTTCCAGCTCCGGACTTGTGAAAAGCTCAGGGAGCCTCGCTGGGCTCCAGGCCTGCCCGGCGCACCGGGCGGCGTCGCCTGCAAGTCCGGGCAGCGCCTCTCCGCGCGCGGGGCAGGGGGCGGGGGCGGCCCGCGTGCGCGGATCGTTTGTCCACACTCCATCTGCTTCCCTCCCGGGCGGGGCCCGCGGTCTCGGGACCCCGGCGGTCTTCTCTGCATAACAAAAGAGCCCGGCTCCCGCCGCCCGCGACGCCGGCCCGCGCCCGCGCCCGCTGCAGGACTCGCTCCAGGCGCGAGGTTTCCAGGTACCCGGAAGGGGGAGGGGGCGCGGCGGCAACAATTGGGCGGGGGCCGCAGAAACGCGCGGCTCGGAGCGCCAAGCCCGCGAGGGGCGGGGTCCCGGGCCGTGCCGCCGCGCGATTGGCCGGAGCCTTCGCGCCTGCCGCCGCTGATTGGAGGATGCTCAAATTCGGTCTCAAGGCGCCAGAGGAGGTGTTTTAGCGGGGACCGCGATCCAGCCTGGAGTCGCGCTGGGCGGGTAGGAACGCTGGCGCTGCCGGGTCACCGCGGGTCCCCGCCAGCGCTGGGCACTCGGAACCGCGGGTCTGCGCGCCTCGCCTGGCCTTCCCGATGTCGCCGGCCGGTTGCTGATACCTGCATCCTCTGCCCGCAGCGGCGTGGGGCCGCGGAGGTCCGGCAGAGGCAGAGCGGAGTGAGTAAGCGTGCGGCCCGGGCTGGCGGGAGGCGGGAATCGGGGCGCGGGGACCCCGCCGCCCGGCTGCCAGCCTGCCACCCTCTCCGGCCGGCGCCGGACCGGGGCGTCTGCGGTGGGACCTGGCGCGCGCGCACTGTGCCGCTGCAGCCGTCCCTTCCCCAGCCCTCGCCCTCGCCGGCGACCTGGGGGTCCCACGGGAAGCGTTTAACTTCGAGGTCTGCCTGGAGGCCTGCGAAGGACCTGTTGCGAGCGCTGAGTGCGTTTGCTCTAGCGATCAGGTTTCCTGCCCCCCTGACTCAAACCCCCTCGAAGCCGAATTCCTCCCAGTTCTTTGCGCCAAAATTAACTGACCTGGAGAGACCCCGTACGGTATTCTAACAGATTTGCCCAACAGCCTCCTGGCTTAGCAATTTTCTTTTGCCTTGTTGCTTTTCATGAAGAATTAATGTTTTTGTCGGTATGTTTTTTTCTTCCCAGATTTTCAGTAATTGTGTTTGTTCGCGTGAATTTTAGGTAGGGCGGGAGGGTGTCTACACTTCTGAAAATTCCCAGGATGTCTTTAGGGAGGGGGAAGGTCATCCTCACAAACAACCAGTACGTGCTTTTGTGGAAGGAAAATATCTAAGTATAAAATCATTTCTAATGTAACCGTGCATTACAGATGGAGGTAAATTGTTTAACACTAAAAGACCTGATCAACCCCAAGCAGGCCAGACTAGACTTGGCAATTGAAGATGGGGAAAATGCACAAAAGGTAAGCACGCCTGAGTACCTTAATCTCCACAAAGCAAAGGTGGGAAATCCGCTGAAGTGTTTCCGTGTGCCACCTGTACTTGTCTTATGAGGTTCTTGATTAATTTTGGTGGACCTGATAGAAACAAATAGGATACGTTTTAACAAATAGAACCCTCCAAACCGTTACTGTTTCCATTCCTTTCTCAGCCTTGTGTAGTGAGTAGATGTAGTACTGGAACCAGCTTATTTAACTCAGAGATATGGTGGACAGACGCAGCGCTCAATTTATAATGCTTACAGTTGTCAAAGATGGTTTTGTAGGAGTGTTGGCCTCAGGAAAATAGATTTGTGTAGTTATAAATTCTGGATTATTAAAATGTTGAGAAATGTCTCCTTACCAAGGAACCAGCGGTAAGTCTCTCGCCCACATACTCAAGAATGTGGCCTGTGCCTACCGCATACCAAGACCAAGTGACTGGCCCCACCAACATACTCTAAAGATTTTGCAGTGCTTCTGCTATTTTTATACTGAGCCATTCTTTGTCTTTTGTACTCCTTGAATTTATAAGACTGTATCTTCAAAAAAATTCATATCTCAACTGTCCTCTAACCAACATCAGCACAAACCAGCAGATGACCCACCAAAAAAGCATCATAGCCTATTAGCAGTAAAGAGCTAAGCATTTTTAGACAGAGGCAAATAAATAACAAAGCTAGTTTTAGAAACTTTGAGTATAAATCTGAGAGAACTAACTTCCTTGAGCGTTGTGCTTCTCTTGGTTTATGGTCTTATTTTTAGGCTTAACGTCAACAGTGAGCCTTCCTAGTCACGCAACCTTTAAACAATCCTTGAAATTTACTAATTTTGAATAGGTATGAAACTATATACTTCCCAATATTTGATTTCTTTTTGTTAGGAAAAGAAGAATACCAAAACATGCTTGTTTTAAAGATGACTTTAAAATGACTAAGGCATATGAAGGTAGAACTGACCAGCCCTTTAAGTATATATTTAGAGTTCTGGCTTGGCAAATTTCAGAGCAAAATTTTTTTGGTTTTCTTGATATTTTGGATGATTCAGCCTTGAAAGAAAATTTACATTCATACAAAATCTAAATCAGTGTTCTAAGTCAGTGTTCCACTTCCATCCTTCTGGGTCAGGGACTTATCAAAAGCCTTCGACAAGGGGCCACTAGTTAGCCTCAGAGAGGGCTGTGTCCAGGTAAGCTTTCATGTTTTAATGAGTGTGCAGAAATAAGTAACTCAAAGCAGGTTGGGAAAGTGGTTAAAATATTTGAAATAGAGTGCATGAGCAGGGATTATTTCACCTCCTAGAAAAGTCAAGAGATGAGAGCAGAGAGCTTCTGCAAAGACCCTAGGATGGGCCTTTCCTTTCCATGTTGCTCGAAAGTGTAGGAAGGTGAGCAGGGATTATTTCACCTCCTAGAAAAGTCAAGAGATGAGAGTAAAGAGCTTCTGCAAAGACCCTAGGATGGGCCTTTCCTTTCCATGTTGCTCAAAAGTGTAGGAAGGAGGCTTTGTAGGGTTGATAAGAACATAAGTTTGAAGTCACAGAGTCCTAAGCTTGATCTGTGCTCTACCATTTATTATTAGGACCTCAGACAAATACAAGGTCTTTGAACAAATGTTTGTTTCCAGCAGTGGAGATACAGTGGTTTAATGAGTCTCCTAACCTTGTTCAGCCCCTTTTTTCCTTCCGTGAATTGGAGCTAACACGTAGCACCTCTCCCGTTGGGTTTTTGCAAAGCACCCAGCAGCACATACTATTCACATTCACTGAATTAAACTGACAACCCAAAGGTGAGTATGCTGTAGGCCTTGCCACTCAGTTATCTGAGGGACTTTCAGAGACCTAGAGGTAAAACTAGGCAGGAGTACTATAGCTTAGTCAGTGTCATAATAGAAGCGGGGACAAAGTACCGGGGCATAACAGAGGACAAAGGAGTCAACTCAAGGGATTTGGAAGGCTTCCGAAAGAAGGAACAGCTGAGTTCCACCGTCCTGGATGAGGAAGTTCAGTAACCTACGAGAAAGAAGAGTGAGTGAGATGGACAATTCAGGCAGAAGAAACAACGTGAGGTATGGGCCTTTGAGAAATGATCAAGAAGTTCACAGTGGCCAAAAGCCAGTGATGCTGAGTGTTTCCTTCCAGAAATGCCCCTGGGGGAGATAGGGGAGCTGTGTCTGCTTGATTAGTCGTTTAGATGGTTTCCTTCTTGACATCTGCACACTGGTCAAGACCCGAAGTGCTCTGTTGTGCTTGCATCATGTGTCCATTCATGAAAAAACTTTTCTTGAAAACATACAGACATTTTTAACATTTTTACCCAAATTTACTGCTCTTAGGTGTGGGCTTATAAATGCAACTCTCTGATACATTAGGGAGGTAAGATTCTGCAGTGCATTTGGGAATGATAAAAGTAAGAAGTAGATAGTTCAGGGGAAAAGGTGAATGCCAAAGTTGAGCTGTTGGGAGGGCTCAGTGCAAGAGCTCACACTTGACCTCCGCTGGTGGAAATGAATGCTGAGGCCTCCGCGTGCAAGTAGAGAGGAAGGTAGCTAGTGAGGTAGAAGTGAGCATGGCACAGCTGAGGAAAGTCATGTCTTTTGGGAGTGGTTTGAGAAGGTAAGTTAAATTTGGACTATGTTTGTACTGGGTGATTTATAAGCAGGATACACTTGGTTGCCTGATTTTGAAATTTGTGAAAGGTCCTAGACTTGGAGTGAAACTTGGGAATCATCGGCATGCAGGTTGACTTTAAACTCGTTTATGTGAGATTAGGGGAACCGCCCCAGAGAAAGTGAATAGGGAGAGAAGGCCGAAGGGCTAAGTGTGGACTTCCGCATTTTGTGAAGGGTAGAAAGAAGTGGAACCAGTGAAGGAGACTAAGAAGGCACAGTCAGAAGAATGAAGAGAGCCAAGAAAGAAAGAGCAGTATTTCAGAAGCGAGGGGCTCCCTTAACTGCTGCAGGGAGCTCAAGTAAGATATTTCACCACTGAGTTGATTTGGCAACCGGCAGGTGAAAGCTGTGGATCAGAACAGGCTTGGTGGGGAAACCGCTGGAAGGAAGGTGGGAGAGAGCCCTCAGTGAGATTACTCCTAGAAAGTATACTCTGGCAGGAAGGAGAGTTGGATCAGCAGACAGAGGAGATCCTTCCTAACTTGTAGTATTTACAATGAGCCCTCAACAATAGGTAGGATTTCAGCAGGCAGAGGTCTCCCAGTTGCACTGAGGAGAAGGTGAGGGCGTGAGCAGCAACTTAGGTGATTCAGTGCACAGGGCGGGTTTGAAGGAGAGCAGCTGGACCGCGGGGCAAAGTGTGGGATATGCCTGAAGGGGAACTGGAAGAGTTGCTCAGATACTGTCAATGGCCTGGACAGTGCTGATGACTGCAGATATTTGAGGTTACATGATTGAAGCTGTAAGAAGATGGAACCAGGACTAGGACTGAGATCTTTCAGCTACTAAGGCCTTTGTATGGCAGCATTTACCTGTAGTTGTAGTGCAGATACTGTATTAATAACGATAATAACGAACATTTTGTAGCACTTGGCAGATGACAGTGCTTCACTTGGCAGATGACAATGCTTCACTTGCAGTATTTGAGCTAATCTTCACAGCAGCTGTAACGCGCATAAGCCTAGGTGCATTACCTCTTTTGCGTCTGAGAACTGGAGGACCAATTCATGGGTTCCATTCTCCAGGCTCTCGTTCAGGAAGTGATTTTTAAGATGTTGCAGGCTACGTTTTCTGACAAGTAGATCTCACCTGGAATTTAGTGTGTGGATTTATGAGGCCCTTGGGTTCAAGGCTGGGGGAGGGCAGGGGAGGGAAGGGAAGGGAGTACAATTGGAGAAAAGGGAAAATGGAGGGGCATTTAATTAGAGAAGTCTGAGCTTTGGAGAGTTCTAGGGTGACCCTTAGGTGTGGTCCTCAGTTGGGACGAGGAGACCAGGCTTTTCTGTGTCAGTGCTACCTCTGCCAGGCCTCCCATGAGAAGGGTGAGCCTGGACTTGTCAGCCTTTCTCAGTCCAGGCGGTCTGGCTAAGACTGGCTGTTGGCATGATTTCCAGCAGCTGAGGGCCTGAGTCATTCATCCCCAGAGAGATCTTGGTGCATCCCAGCATCCACTACACAGTAGGCAGCCTTGCTAGAAAGCCTTGAAGACGGTTACCTTGGTCTGAATTCTTTTTTTACATACAGAAACTTGTGCCCAGACAGAATGAGCCATACACAGCTGAAACAAACCAGATTCTAAGTTCCCATGCTAATCCCCTTTCCTTTGCCTTCTGCCGTGTCAGAATAATAGAACAGACAGCTAAAGTGGGATATAGAGTTGTGACACAGTCCTAACCTGCCATGCAACCTGAGTCCCCTCCTACTTTACTACTTAAACTATGGTACAGATATGTCAAAGTGTATAAACAAGTAATCCATTCTGAATTTCTGTCTAGCTTGAGAAAAAATAGGAACTCAGCTCCTGGGAGGACAGGTACTGTGGCAATAGCAGGGAAGGAGAATAAAGATCTGTCCTTACTGTGAGGAGTGAGATGTGGAACTGACGTCCACATGTACACTGCCTCATTATGGAGTCATGACACGCCCAGGAAGTTAAATAGCAATATGATGTGCTACATTATATTAACTCAAAGTGCTATATTATATGAGCTCTAAGTGAATGGCAATAAAGAATGAGAGCGAGGGGAAAAGGCAATAGTAAGTTTTACTGAGGAACTATTCTCAAATAGTTGAGAGGTTGGTGTGTTTATGAACTGAATTTCCAGCTGAGAGTGTGGAAGTACAGTGAGGTGAAGGACTTGCCCATATTCACTCTGCGAAGTAGCAGAGACTGAGACACGGCTCCAGGTCCCGCATCACCACTTCCCCGTACTGCTTCTCCCAAGATGCTAATGGGGGGTCCTTGCCTGCTGAGTTGTTCGAGCTGTGAAAAAGGTGACTTCCTCCCAGTTTCACCCAGGACAGACTGATTTCTAGATGCAGCAGTTCAGAAACACCTGCTTCCAGCTGTCTCTTACATAGCAATGACTTTGACCCCAGATGAGGTTGTATATGCCCTAACACAGGTTATTTAACCTTTCTCTGCATCAGTTTCTTCATCTGTAAACTGGAAAAATAACAGTACCTGTGCCACAGCATTAGAAGAGGAATTAATACATATAAAGTACCTGAAGCAGGACATGGCACTCAGTAATTTCCCTTGAGAGTTCACAGTAGAACTCTTCATCAGAAGGACACACTGGCAGGGACTTGCTGGGAGTTGAGTAGGTGCTGTCCCCTAGGCTGTGTACTTACTACTTGATGACAGGGAAAATCATCTCCTTCATCCACACCCCTCCTGCACATTATGCCAGGACAGACTGTCGCTATGGTTAAGTGACTGATTAGCCAGAATCCAAGCATGCCATACTGTAGTGTGATACTCGTATAGGGAAAGGAGTGACAGATACTTAACTCATCCACCTTCAGGACTGTGTAAATCACTGTTACCAGGAAGTGAATTCTATAGGAAGAGCAGATCTTTCGATTTTGAATGGCAGAAATATTTTAGGAAGAAGAAAAATTTTTAATTACTTGGTAATTCTAAATGTGGGTTCTACATACTTAATCCTTTGTCATCATGGACCCATCTTTAATCTTTGCTTATAATTATCTACAAATTGTTACTAGGTTACAAAAAAATTAAAACTGTAAACTCAGGAGTTGAGCATTTAAAAACCTTATTGGTAATTTGATAATCGCCATCTAAACTTACGACCAGAAGTCTTTTTCTAGTTCAGCAGGCTGTGGGTTTGTCCGAGTAACAAACTAAAACGGCAAATCACATGAGATGACAGTTGTGTATTTGTCATATGAAGTAAGATCAGCTCTCAGTATGTGGGAGTTTGGAAATTCAAACTCTGCGGATGGTTTAAGAAACACTGCTCTAGAAGCATAGCATTACTACACAACACTCTAGTTTTGCTTAAAATATGGTATTTTGTTGGATGCTCTTTCTGTAGCTGGTTGCACTGTACTAATTGCTCTTAGTTCACTGGTGAACTTTAAACAACAGAAGCGTAATTGCTCTTTACTAGCTAGTGCAAACTTCTAAAAGTGTTTAAAAATATATATGTAGTCCTTAGAAAAAATATGAATTCAACCTGTATTGACCTTCATCATGCCCGCCTATTGTAAGTGTCAACCAATGACAGATCTTAGAGATGCCATGAAAATATATTTAAAAGGAGTACAGATCTCATTGGTGCCACGGTTCAATACCCATGAAGTCTTCTGTGCCCTTTCACTAACCCGATCCTGATACTTTTCAACCCTGAACATATGCAGTCCTGTTTGTATTTCCAAATCTTAGTCAGTGGTAGGAACAAACTACTTTTAGCTAGCATCTGCTTTTTCTTGCTAAAAGTCTCTCTCTTTTTTTAAATAGGAAAATATATTTGTTGATCGATTAAGGATGGCCCCAAAGACTCCAATAAAAAATGAGCCCATTGATTTATCAAAGCAAAAAATCTTCACTCCAGAAAGAAACCCCATTACTCCAGTTAAGCTTGTTGACAGACAGCAGACAGAACCATGGACACCCACAGCCAACCTGAAGATGCTCCTCAGCGCTGCCAGCCCAGACATAAGGGACCGAGAAAAGAAAAAGGGGCTGTTCAGGCCCATAGAAAACAAGGATGATGCGTCTTCAGACTCTCTGCAGGTAAACCGGAGGTACTCCACGGGCTTTTAAAGAATTCAGAAAACTTTTACTTAATTATTGGAAAGCTCACAGAATTCTCATTTTTCTATTCCTGTTAAACCAAAAGCAGTACTAAATGTAGTATCTTTTTTATGTATAGTGTAATTCTCATTCTATCTGAGTTTCTTGATGAATACCTTCCTCTCCTGTGTCTGATATTTTGACCAAACCACATTAACAAATGATAAGTTTTTAAAATATTGATTTAAAGATTGTACCGGGAACCGAACTCACAACCTTGCGCTTGCCAGGCAGGCGCTTTGCCGCTGAGCTAAATCCCCAGCCCCTGATTTAAAGATTTTAATGGAGGAATTCTGCTTGCTTAAAAGCTCCTGTGAGCTGGGCACGGTGGTGCACGCCTGTAAACCCAGCACTTGGGAGGCTGAGGCAGGAGGATCGCTGCGAGTTTGAGACCAGCCTGGGCTACAAACTGAGCTCAAGGCCCGCCTGAACTGTGCAATGAGACCCTTTCTCAAAAAGACTAAAAAATGAAAATATAAAAGCTTGTGTGATTTTTAATTATGCTCAGTTTTAAGGGTAATACTAATCTAAATAATTTCAGTTTGTAAAAGTCCATTTTTCCTTAGATGTTCATTTGCTTACTTCGGACTTTTATAAAGTCAGGTCATCTATAAATTACCTGTCATATGTAAAGAACTCGAGCTGCTGAATAAGCAGTGTATCTAAACTCAGTGGTTAGTCACTGCTCCATTGAACTTTTACCCAGACTTGATAAGAAAAGTGACATAGGTTAGAGTGTTTCTAACTATCTTTCCGCCTTTTCATACATTTTTAAGCTATAAAATGTGCCAAAATGAGGAAATTGGAAGGAGAAAAGAGAAAAAGATGTCCTGAATTACAATTTGAATTTAATAGGACAAATCGAATTAAATCCATTGGTAGAACTAGCAGAGTCTTGCATGTAACTAGATGCAAATCATACAGTTTGGAGAGTGATTCTTACATGCTTAAAGCCAGAAAATTTTCATAATTCCTGTTTTAGTTCTGGGCTGTTCTTAGCTGACTTTCTATTTTATATTTGATGTAGAAAGTGCAGGAAGCTTGTTTTCAGAGCCTTGCATTCATATCATTACCTGAGTGAGTGCAAGAATCTCTCAGGGTCTCTGTCTTATTCTGCTCATCCCTAAAATGGTGATCATGTTCCTACTGGGTTTGTAAGGACTGAATAAAGTTGTATGCTTTTTGCTATCAGAGGCCTATAAATATTAGGATTTTTTAATTTTTGGTTTCTTTAACTTTCTTGACAAAATAAGGCAAAGTAAAAAATCACTCAGCATGATTTACAGTATTAATAACCTCCTTAGTGAGGTAACATTATTGATATCTGACTTTAGTACAAGTTGTTTAATACGCCCCCAAAATAAATAAATTGGTGATTTTATACTCTCTTTGTTAAGAGATTTTAAACTGATCAGTCACTAGAAATGATCCCGTTAGTTAAGAAGTGCCTAAAACTTCAGCGGCCTTAAAATAGGCTTTTCATATCTTTATTACCTTCTCACAGACTGTTTGATCACTTAAGTATGCAGTACCTGTAACACCCGTGAATGTGCCTCCCAGCCTAAAACCCAGACAGAACTATTAATTTACATTGAATAACCGCTTTCCTGAATTTGTGTTTATCATTTCCTTGCCATTTCTAAACTGCTGTTTATACAGTGTGTGTTCCTGATACAGTATATTGCTTAGGAAGTTTTGTTTGTGTTTAGGCTCTGTAAAATTAAAATTATACATGGTATAGTCTGCTCTGGGACTTACTTTTTTCACTCAACAAACATCCTTAAGGTTCACACATGATTTAACAGTAGTTTTATCATTTTCTTTGCTATGTAACATTCCATTGCATGAGTACACTGAGATTTAATGAGCTACTCTAATTGGTAGCCACTTGGACTGTTTACTGTTTGGGACTAATAGGAACTGTGCTGCTATGATACACTTGTTTGTGTTTCCTAGTGTAAATGCTATCTTTTTCCTAGGGCATTGTTTCCAAAGTGTGATCTGGTAACCTTAGCGTCTCCAAAGTATCTGTCAGAAGGTCAAAGCAGTCAACACGATTTTCATAAAAATACTAAGACATTTGCCATTTGAACTGTCACTCTTTTGAGCTTCTACACTAAAGCTTTCAAAGTAACTAAAAGATGTGGATCCTGCAGTAGGTTGAATACAAACAAAAGCAGGTCTTTTTTTTGATGGCCGGCACTAAAGAGGTTTGAAAAAATATAGAAAGCACTAGCCTTTTGTCACTAACCAGTTTAACTGTCTGCTTTAGTTTTCTATTTGCTAAATACCAGTAGATAATACCCACATTTTAAAAAAGCTCTGTGAGGTCTCTCAGTAATTTTTTGTAGTATAAAACATGGACCCTTTGAGCAAGAAGTTTGAAGCCAGGGATACAGCTCAGCAGCACAGCGCCTGCCTGGCAAGCGCAAGGTCTTGAGTTCGATTCCTGGTACCAAAAACAAATTATAAAAAGTTTGAGAACTGCTATTTTGGGATGTATAGGTGCTAGTGGGATTGCTTGGTCATTGAAATGCAGTTGTTCACAAGATATGCCAAATTACTTTCTAAAATATAATTTGCTTCCAGTAGTAATATATAAGTATTTATTGAGTCATATCGTCTCTGACTCTTGAAATTGTCAAGTTCCTTAATTTCTTCCAGGGTTGTGGGTGTGCAGTTTTTATCTTACCGTGGTATTCATTTGCTTTTCCTGGACTACTCATAAGGCTAAGTTTCTTTCCTCATGATTATGCACTATCATGTTTTTTCTTCTTCTGTGCAATGCTTATTTGTGTTCTTTGCTGATTTTAAGTAATTCATTTTTTCCTTTTTATATGGATCTGTAGAAGTTGTTTATATATTCTTAATACTAAATGATTATCCACTCTCTGTATTACATATGTATTCTTTCAGTTTGGTAACTGCCCTTTCTCTTTTTATCCTTGCTTGATGGACTTGAAAAAGTTCTTAAGTTTAACATAGTCCAGTAGATAACTCTTTTCTTTTAAGAGTAGTATTTCGTATGCATAAAGAAATCTTTCCCTACCCCAACATTTGAAAAGTACTCTTCTTTTATAACTTGCTTTCTCTTCTTAAAACCTTACTCTGTTTGGAAATGGCTTTGTACGTGTGATGTTGAGTCAGAATGTTCCTCGGTGTTTCTTTACGCATAGTGTCTGTCCCTGCAGCGTGTACTGGGGATTCGTCCTCTCCACCCAGTGACAGTGCTGTTTCTGTCATACGCTGGAGTCTGTGTGTTGGTTTCTAGTCTCTTCTCTGTTCCATCGGTCAGTTTGTCCATTTCTCTGCTTGCGCCACATTTTAATAAGCGTCGATAATAGGTAAGGCAGGACCCTCAATTTATTTTTCTTCAAGCATGTGACATGACTATTCCAGCTCTTTCTTTCTCTCATCTATATATATATTAGACTAGGCTTTAATTGGAACTGAAAATTTGAAGAGTTAACTTTGTCATGGTATTGAGCCCTCCTTTCCATAAAGGTAGTATATTTCTCCAAGTACTGAGTACTACGTCCTGTAAGACCTAAGTTTTAGTATTTTATGCAAATAAATTTTGCTAGATTTATTCTTTTTTTCTTTTCTTTTTTTTTTTTTTTTTTTGAGACAGGGTCTCACTATGCAGTTCAGGCTGGCCTTAAACTCAAAAAGATCCTCCTGCCTCAGCCTCCCGAGTGCTGGGATTAAAGGCATGCACCACCACACCAGGCCAATTCTTAAAAACCTTACCATTCCTGTTGCTATTATAAATTATCCCTTTTCAGTCCATTCTTTGTTACTGTTGTATAGCAACACAGCTGATTTTTAAGATATATTTTATATTCAGCTACTTTGCTAAATCCTTGTTTTTAATAATGTGAGATTCTTTTTAGTGAACAATCCTCTTCTGCAGAATGGAAGTGTTGACTTATTCCTTTCCAACCCCTACACCTCTTTTCTCTTTCTTGTCTTCATGCACTGACTATGATCTCCAGGGTGGTATAGAAGCCGAGCAATGATAGTGGACATCTTTATCATTTTCTTAATTTTAAGAAAATACTTCCGAGGTTTTGCCACTAACATGTTTCCTTTGGAGCTCATGAGTACTCTCCCTGAAGAAGTTCTACCCTTTTCCTAATTTTCTAAGAACATTTGTGGAAATTGTGAATAAATATTCAAATTATCAGATGCTTTTTCTGAGTCTGTTTTCCAATCATCCTATCGTTTTTCTCCTTGAATCTGTCAAAAAGCTTTTTATATTCTCGGGGCTTTAATGGAATCATTTTCAAGTGTGGGTTGATAAGAAAAGGATGCTAGTTTAGTGTACTTACAATAAGAAAGAGTAAGAAAGGCTACAGCTTACCAGCCCTTGCAGTGTCATCAGGGTTCAGTAAACTGTAAAATAAACAACAGTTAGGCAACATGGTGCAGGTCAGTGCGTCTCAGACTTCATGTCCGTAAGAATCTCCAGTTTATGAAAAGGCAGCTTCTGATGCAGCAGGTCTGGGAGGAGGCCTTAGATTGTGTATCTCTGAAAAGTTCCTGGTGATGCTGATTCTGCTTTTCAGCAAGCACACTAGTGGCAAGGGAGCTGCATCCCATACATGACCGCATTGTTCATTTTTTAAACTTCAAACCATAGACTCAGCTCCCTGAGGAAAAAATTCAGTTCAGGGAAAGCCATAGGTAAAACATTAAGAAAATCAGATTTAAACATATATTTTAAGCAGAACCTTGATGATACGGATGATACGGGCGGGTATGTGCCACACCCCTCCCACACACCCTGTAAACTTGCCGGTACCAGTCCTTGCAGTTTGTCCTTTGGGATGTTAACCATGACGTTTTCCCCCCCCTCCCCTTCTATCTGCTCTCTGTAGCTTGATGTTGTTGGGGACAGTGCTGTGGACGAATTTGAAAAGCAAAGGCCAAGCAGAAAACAGAAAAGTTTAGGACTCCTCTGCCAGAAGTTTCTAGCTCGCTACCCGAGTTACCCCTTGTCAACTGAGAAAACTACCATCTCCCTAGATGAAGTTGCTGTCAGTCTTGGTATGTATCGCGAGATTGCCTGGAGGCCTGTCACCGGTTACAGTGGGAAACTGGTTTCCTTGGGCAGGCCAAAGACTTCAGGTGGCCTCTTAGGAACTGAAGAATGGGCCTTTTGCAAGCGTAAGGACAAAGAAGCAGGCAAAGCTTCCTTCATCACATATCTCTGTCTGCATTGACTTCTAGGAAGCTTCCTAGACAGGAAGGTCAAATGAAAATTGAAGGTTTTGGTTTTTTCTAACCTTAAAAAATATTTTGGTAACAGATAGTATTTCTTAATACTTACGTTATGTGTTAATATCATATTTAAATTCATCTTCAGAGAGGGGCTGGGGATTTAGCTCAGTGGCACAGCACCTGCCTCGCAAGCGCAAGGTTGTGAGTTTGATTCCCAGTACTGGGGAAAAAAACAAAAAACAAAAAAAATTCATCTTCAGAGGGATGCAAAAAGCTTTTAGAAATACCCTGGTTTTTTGTTTGATAGTGTTTCTAAAAGTTCAGGACTGGTTTTATTTCCTGAGAGCAACAGCATTGTGTTTGAAGCCCTTTACCAAGATACTCACAGCAAGCCTGTCAAGCTAGAAAAAGCACTTCTGGACATAATGCAACCAACTAAACCTGGTAACAAAGAATATGTGTGACATGATGATCACGCATAATGTGATGGATGTACGGTCTATAAATGTGTATGCAGCTGCTTCAGAATAGAGACCCCTAGTGGACATGAACTGCAGTTGGATGAATGAATTACATGAACATGTTACCAGTCATTAAACAGAAATCGCAGTGATTTAAAAGTCTGAAGGTATCCCCTTAAAAAATAAAGTTTTACATACACAGGAAAAGCAAAACTTGTGGAAAAAAATCAGTAAAATAGATAAAATAAGGTTTTGCATGCACAGGAAAAAAAAAAAAACTTTAGCTGAAGAAATCAGCTAAATAAATAATTACACTTTTTGTTTGTTTCTTCTGTAGCCCAAAGAAATGTCATTTTGATTTATTCACTATGTCAGTGTAACAGTCTGAATGATTCAAGCTGAAAGCTGAGCAGATTATGGTTGTTGGAAATCACGCTAATAAGGAAGTTGTGATGAGAAGACCATGAGTTGAGCTTTGGGTCAGATAGGATTACACTTGAACCCAACCCTAGAATTTAGAGGCTATGGGAGTTTTTAAAAGTTGATTAACCTTTGTCATAACAATGAACCACAGCACCTACCTTACAGAGACATTATGAGATTAGAAATTATGGGAGTAACATGTCTAACCTAGTACCCAGCATGTTTTACTTTTTAATACATGGACATATTCTGCTCGGCACTTACTGGATTCTTTTTTTTTTTTTTTTTGTGGTACTGGGGATCGAACTCATGACCTTGCACTTGCCAGGCAGGCGCTTATGCCACTGAGCTATATCCCCAGCCCTGGATTCTTCTCTCCCAAACCCCCAGCTGTTCTGTCAGCCTCAGTAGTGAGGAAGAGGAGGTAGAGTAGTGGGGTTGGAGAGCCATTTTGGAACCCAGAAGTACAATGCATATTCTAGGATCAGTGCCATCAATCAAGAAAGGGAGACTTGGCCCCCTGGACAGAAGCATGGTAAAGAGCTAGTTAGGGCGCAGGATTCTGGAAACTAGTCTTACAGAAAATGACTGGTCATTCAGTGTCCTCATTGGGGTTCGTGAAGCCTGTTTCCTCCATACACCCTTATCTGTCCTGAGGTCTTACACTGATGTCACTGTGGAACACAAAAGGTTAGAGGGCCATGTCACAGCTCAGGGAGGACAGAACCATGGACTCTCTTGTCATCTGAACCACTGGTCATTCCACAGAGCTCCGTGTTATAACAGCCCGGAGCAGAACTACAGAGATTTTTACAGCAGCTTCCCAATGCCTCGTGATCACCCAGACCTGCCAAGTCAGCATGGCCTCTCTTCATGTGAGGTTGAAAAATGGGAGTCCTTTGCTAGAAGCTGTTTTATTGTTGATGATTGCCTGGAGTCTATGGAAATGTAACTTGTAACTTGTGACCCTGCTACCATCCCTGGGCCGCAAGTTACAAGACCATAGTTTCACCAAAAATGTGCAGAGCATTCAAAGTGCATCAGTTTCCAGATTCAGATACTATTAGATTTGACGCTAAGATTGGGGGCATGAATTTAAGAACAGGGAGTGACTTGAAGAACCAGAAAACAGTATAATCTATGAGAGTCCTGTGCTGAGAGTTGTTCTGATGGATTCTGCAGGGAACTAAACTATGAGAGTGTAGCAACAATTAGTAAATCCTTGGCAGCGGCTAATGGCGTGACCAGGAATAATGGAACAACCTCAAGACAAAACAAAAAAAGGCTGAATGCCCTCAGCTTAACCTACAGGTGTTGACACCTGTGAGAAATGGAACTCTCATGTACCTGCAATTAACTCGAGCAAGACTGAAATAGTGAATGATAAGCGGGCAAGCTGGTGCCATATTGGGTTTCTCTAAAACCGCCTACTAAGTACCCATTGTGTGTATTAAATGTCACAGTACTCTCCAAGTGGTCAGAACCTTTTATTTCCCTTTCTTGGAACTGTTAGCCACTAGGTGGAGACTAAGCAGTTCATTATCCTATAAAACCTAACCAAACAGGAAGGCATATGGCTGGCCCTAGGGTGTCTCAGTTGCATTCACATGATATTTCTAATGGGAAGGTTTCTAGAATGTTACACTCTAAACAAATGTGTTAATATGTGAAAACAGACTGGAAGAAGGAGCCAGGCAGCTCTGGACAAAGGGCTGCTGTCTGCTCCTGCCAGCACCTTCCAGCAGGCAGCTGGCAGTGAAGCCTGAGCTTTTAGGGGTGACAAGCCGTGCAGGGTCGTGAGCTGAAATGTTCTGACTGACTGTGAAATGTCTCTTCGTGCATGTGATAGGACTTCCTCTCAACTCTAGAGTATTCCTTGTAATTTGGTGTTTTTCTCACATTAAATCTCTGACAGGCCCAAAGCTACATGTACCGACCCTGCCCTGGTTATATAACAACCCCTGGCAAGTGAACCAAAAGAGGGCATCGTCGTAGCTGGGCTGGTTTTCTGCAAAGTGCCTGGAGGCTTTTTTGTTATGGATGCTCAGATGAGAGCAAAAGGGAACAGAAGGTATAGCCTTTCCCAGCAAGTTGAGATTAGTGACTAAGCCCTAGAATCTTGAGGTTTCCATTTCAAAACAGGAAACACTATTTACTCTCATTTTCCTTACTGGGCCATTGAAAGTTGTAGATGTAATTATTTTTTCACATGATTCAGACACTGAAAAGGACAGTATTGTCTATGGATGAAGTGTCAGTATTAGATACAGCTTCTTTTATAGTTGCATAATTAGGAATACAAGTCACAATCAACCATGCATTCATCAAGTGAGCAGTAGGCACAGTATTATGTAAATTGCACAGTACTGCACGTTTTAACATGCCAAAATGTGTGGTTTGCTAACAGGTCTAAAGAGCAGTGCTATGTTATTAGATCACGCAGAGAGATCTATCACCATCTCCGCATAGGTGTTTGGCCTAGCTCTATTTGAGTGTTGGATCCTAAGAAAAAATAAGAAAAATAATTTCTGTTGTTTGCATCCTTACAGGTTGAATTTATGGAGCATCCATACTTGATGGGCCTTACAGTGGGCATTATACAAAGCAGTTCACAGACATGGTCCAGGCCCTCAAGGAATTTATACTCAAAAGGTTCACCTGCATGATATCTATTGGCTTCTGTTTTTCAAACAGGTGTGGAAAGAAGACGCATCTATGACATTGTAAATGTGCTGGAGTCCCTGCATCTGGTTAGCCGGGTGGCCAAGAATCAGTACGGCTGGCATGGACGGCACAGCCTGCCAAAAACCCTAAGAACCCTCCAGAGACTAGGAGAAGAGCAAAAATATGAAGAGCAGATGGCCCACCTACAACAGAAGGAGCTCGACCTGATGGAGTATAAGTTTGGAGAGCATAGGAAAAATGGCTATCCAGATTCCCAAGATCAACAGTTACTGGATTTCTCTGAACCCGACTATTCCTCTTGTGAGTCCATTGTAACCTCATGAATAGTGGCAGAGAAAGTGATGGTTTATTCTGAAGAGAGTCACTGCTAAGAAGAGAAGTGCCAGATTGACAGCCCCAGAGGAAAATGTCCTCTTGTTCTGTGTACTGAAGAAAGGGAGGCAGATGGCTCCCCAACTGGGCTGCCCACTCGACCTCACTTGAAATCCATCTTGTGGTAGTTCACTTGATGTTTAGCATGCCTGAACTGCAGATCACTAATAGTGTTCTCGTTCAGGATTGACAACCCCATGCAGTTTTCTGTTCACGAGACTTTACTTAGAAGACGTTATCTTCTCAAATAATTTTCTTTAATTATATGTTGGGTTAGATTATGTAGAAAAGAGCCCCATTAGCAGGAAATGATAAGAAAGATAGGCAACCCCTGCTTTCATTTGGTGCAGAAAGTGTTTGATTTATATCTACATTTTTCTTTCCTCCCCCTAATATTTTTCCTCTTCTCACTTTAGCCATTGATCTTCATCACTGTCACCCTCCTCCTATTGCTGAGATGACGAAGTACATGTGCCAGGCCCATTTTAATTGCAAATATTAGACTTGGGAGGACGGTGGGGCTGGTGTGCATTAGATTCACGGCCTCATGCCTTGTAGTTCCACGCTGTGCTGCTGTATTTATCCTAATAACCAGGGAAGGCAGCTTCTGTCAAGGATGGTTTACCTGCCACCCATAGGAGCACACGTCCAATGATTCCTGTTCGTGGAAAGCTTGTTTATTCGCCTATTTCTGAAAAGAACTGGAAGACATAGGCACCTACTATCTTCTTCAAACTGTGGGCCCCGAGGATAAAAATGGAGTTCTTGTCTTTGAGAAGAAAGTTGATGTTCTGAAAACAGTTTCTGATCCCTGCCCTCTCCTTTTGTCTGTCTCCATTAATCTTTTCAAAAAGTTGCTTCAGGAAAACTACTGCATGGATTCTACTACATGACGTATAAGTATAAAGTGTGGAGAATAGTTTAAAATATGCATGTAAGAGTTTATGCCTACTGCAGAGTAATTTTATGAGCATCAAGAAAATCCTGATTTCTTTAGAAGCTGGTTTTTGTGATGTGTATCCAACAAGCTTCTGCCTATAGCAAGGATAATCCTTCCATGTACTCTTGGAGCTTATCATTCTGGTAAGCCATAAACACAGTCTTTCTTGTACCTCCCATGTTTTGATGCTTATATTTCTTCTCTTTGTAGCATCTGCAAACAGTAGAAAAGATAAGTCTCTGAGAATTATGAGCCAGAAGTTTGTCATGCTATTCCTCGTCTCCAAAACCAAGATTGTTACTCTGGATGTGGCTGCTAAAATACTAATAGAAGAAAGCCAAGACACCCCAGATCATAGTAAATTTAAAAGTAAGAATCTTTGCCTAGGTCCATTTATCAGCACAAAAAAGGGTGGGCTTTCATGAGTCAGTGTGTTCTGCCTCTGAGATTAAAAGTACATGTATATTATTTTTGAGAAATATGCTCCTTCCTTTGTTCATAAAGGTGCTTGTTGCTGTGAAAATTAGCTAGTCACGTAATAGAATTTTCAGTGTCTGTCAGAAGGCATTTCCTCAATAGTTCGGGTAGCCGGTGAGAAGCAGAATGCCATCGGAGAATGACAGCCAGGAAAGGTGTGAATAACTGCATTTCTCTTTAGTAACACTGCATCAGAGACAGAATGTCTGAGTTTTCTTTCCCCTTTTCTCCCCACCCCCTGCCTACTCTTCTGAAGGGTGGAGAAGAAAGTTGTCTACAGGTAAGAACCAGAGGAACCACAGGGTCGGGGTGGTGGGACATGGCTAATGGACAGGGACAGAGTTTCTGAATGTCAAAAACGGGGCGTCTTCCTTTTTGATGGCTCCAAGATCCTGAGCCAGTGCCCTGGGCTCCCGGTGAGAGGCCATAAGCTCATCATTCTGCGGGCTTTTTTGTTTCCAGCTGGAATGATACCTCCTTGTGAGTGAAATAGCTAGATAAAGCAGCACTGGCAGGATAGAGGTGAAAACTTGATGTTTCTGGATAATAATTCAAACTCCTTTCGTTGATTTGATTTGACCCTAGGGGTCAAGTGGGTTTCCTACCTGCCCATCATTTTCTTAAATAGAAAATACTTTGTGGTCATTGTCATGCCTGTTTGATGTGTTGCCACCCCTTCTGAATTTTTCCTCTAGTACATGCATTTTTCAAAGGTCTCTCCTAATGCTTCATAAAACCCTGGGAATGCGCATTCCACCCTTCTCCTGCTGGGTGGCCAGCGTGCCCTGGTTTCGGGTGAGAAGCAGCTGTCTTCAGCACAGTTGTACCTCATGACCTTGAGTCCAGGGCGTCCCATGTGCCCGGATTTGTGGCCTTGCAGGAAGCCCTGGGGGATCACTGTCATCTTCCCAGGCCAGCTGCCTTTGAAGCAGGTTCCATGACCGCCCGCTGGGAGAGACTCAGGGCGAGCTTTTGACATGCCACATGTCAGAATTACATTTGACTAAGCCTTTAGCCATTTCCTCCCTTGGTGTTTTTGCAATCCTGGCGCTCCCTGCTTATTAACAGATGCCTCTTGAAAGAGGTGTGAAGTTGTGAAAGGGGAGGACACACTGACCTTCCCTTAATGTGTGTCTTCAGATGCATCGGAAATGTAAATCTTAGGTGATTTCCTGACAGCGCCATTGGTCTCATCCCACCCTGCTGCTCTGCTCTTGAGGTTGATGTGGCCTAGAAACGTTACTTGTCACATAAGCTAAAAGATGTGTCCGTCACAGATGGCATGACCATCACTGTTTTATATCTTCAAGCAAAGGTACGACGCCTCTATGACATAGCCAATGTTCTGACCAGCTTGGCTTTGATAAAGAAAGTGCATGTAACCGAAGAGCGAGGCCGTAAACCAGCCTTCAAGTGGATCGGGCCCGTGGACTTCAGCTCCAGTGGTAAGGAGGTGTGGTTTTGCTAGGGACTTATTATAACCCCTAATTCCTTTTCTAAATGGGACATGCACTACAGAGTGAGCCTGATCTTTTCCGGACTCTGTATCACTCTTGACGCAGTGCTCATTAGCCTAAAAATAGTACACGCCGATTGGCACATACACAGTAGCAGGGACGTACTAGGAGCTTAGGTGGGAATTTCTGTAACTATTAAATTACAGCTCTTGATAATTTTTTATTTTGTTCTAGAATTCTTTCCTGGAAGTTTGGGGTGAGAATTAAAAATGACTTTTCTTTTGAACTCTGCTTGTGTCTGTGTTAGCAGAATGATACATTGTTTTTCAGTAAAATCCCAGATAGTGTAAAAATCACATCAATTGTCACAAAACTGATACGTGGTAAGGCTGCTTCTAAATATAGGATGATATAATCAACACCTCCTCTGTAATTTACTTAAAAGGTTACAAATGTTGTAATTTTCCTAAACTGGAATGAAAGAGGGTATTATCTTCTACTTAATTCACAGGTAATATCCGAGCAATCAGAAACTAGATCCTACTACACCAGGTGCTTTACATATAGTTGTACTGCTGGGAAAAGCCATTAATGTTATTTTTAAATTACCCTTTCAATTTTGGCATTGGTGGTATAAAATCATACCACTTAACTCAGGCTTATAAAAGGTATAGCTGTCTACCTCACTTGTGACACATTATTCACTTAGGGTCTAGATGGAACCACTTAAAATCAAGTATAACTAATTCAACCCAGGGTTTGCTTGCTGAGTGTGGGCTGTGTGCCAATTCCTGTACTACACGCCATGAGAAGTTTAAGATAGGTCTGGTGCAGTCCCTGCCTGCGTGAAATGTACATCTTTGCCATATTCTGCTTCTCTTCCTTTGGTTTCTCCTGTTCTTTCCACCTGTGAAAATTTCTCCTTTTTAACACTAGAAATACAGCCATGTATCACTTGACAAGAGGCACATGTTCTGTGAGAGGTGTCCTTTGGTGGTTTCATCACAGAGCAAGCTGCAGAATGCACTTGACACTAACTTTCCTACTACGAAGTCACTAGGCAGTATAATCTTACGGGACCACTGTTATGTGTGGTCTGTCCTTGACCCAGATATCCTTATGACTGTTCTATTCAGCTTTCAAGATCAAGCTCAACCACTGACTTCATGATGTTTTCCCTGATCACCCAGAGCAAAGAATGTCTCAGCCGAGCAATTACAATTAGGTATTGTGTTGTTTTACTTAATGAAGCTGATAGTGCGGGATTGCCCTCGGCTTATACAGTGGAGGCCAGACATCAGTACTTATATTTCTTCAACCCATAATTTGTAGAACAATACTGTACTCACTTAGTTAGCAAATGAGGTGGGTATTGAGTCCAGTAACTTTTTTTTTTCTTTTGGTACTGGGAATCGAACTCTGGACCTCGTGCTTGCCAGGTAGACGCTTGTGCCCCTGAGCTGTATCCTCAGCCTGAGGTTGGTATTGAAAGTGAGCAATTAGCACATATTGTAAAAAGTTAGAGAGGAATTCAGTGCTAGAAAGAGGGCACTGGCTCTAAAGAAACTCAAAGAGGATACCTGATAGACTGTTAAGTTTTGGAAGGATGAAGGAATAGCATAGGAGGTGTGATTGAAAAATAAAGTGAGTGCGTACATTTTTCAGAAACAACACATTAAAAGATCCATTGCCATTAATCTCCCTCAAAATACTCCCTCTCACCTTGAACACACTTCTTACCACTTTTTGAAGCAGTTCTGGAAGTCGTCTGTTGTGTCTTATTATGAGGTGTGATAAGACATTCAGCAAATACTGATGCCAGGTGCCATCCAGTGGAAAGAGAGGTTCAGAAAAACATTACCGTGTGCTGTCCACCTTATTCTCTGGATCTAGCACCATGTGACTTCCGGCTCTTCCCCATCTAAAGTAAAAATGACCATGAAAGGTCAATTCAGGACGTCAAGGAAGCCACAGCAATGCAACTGAAGACACACATGAAAAAGGACTTCCAGAACTGCTTCAGAAAGTAGTAACAGTGGGATGTGTTCAGCGCAAGAGGCAGTATTTTAAGGGAATTAATACCATGTCTTTTACTGTAAAACTTTTTTTTTTTTTTTTTTTTTGTTTTTTTGAGACAGGGTCTCACTATGCAGTTCCGGCTGGCCTTGAGCTCACTTTGTAGTCCAGGCTGGTCTTGAACTTGCAACAATCCTCCTGCCTCAGCCTCCCAAGTGCTGGGATTACAGGCACACACCACCACACCCAGCTGTAAAACATTTTTTAAACACTCAGTCATACCTCATACATTGAGAACAAATTTGGTCTACACTGGAGAGATCAGCCACCCTGATTTAAGTGGAGAGCAGAGGATAAAGAATAATAAGGTAAAATCTAATCATTTGAGACTACATTTTTGGAAGGCCTGAGTAGAGCTAAGAAATTTGTACTATATGTAATAGGGAGAAGTGACAAGAAGTCTTTGAAGTGGGCTGGGGAGTTAGCTCAGCAGCACAGTGCCTGCCTGGCAAGCACAAGGTCGTGAGTTCGATTCCCAGTACCGGAGAAAAACCAAAAAAAAAGTCGTCTTTGAGCATAGAGGTTAATATGCTTTTGCCAGCTTGAACCACCAGGGGTACATGTGTGACTGTCCCATCAGGCAGCTTGTGCCACTGTTGATACAAGTCGTATAGTCATGTATCAGACGGTTTGAGCTGCCCAGCAGCAAGACAGATGAATTACAGCCCCACTGTGAATGTGTTAAGAGGAAAGATGGTGACACCATTGAAAAAATAAGATCTTTGGGAAGAGAAGATGGTGTTGAGAAGTCAAGGAATTTGTGTATTTGCACAACCAGTGGGAGAACAACTAGGAGAACTCCGACTTGATATGGATTTGGAACAGGGTCTGCAACCTCAGATTGAACTTATTTTCTTTACCCTCAGAAACCTGGTCCTCTTTCCTTATTCCCTAGATCTGCTACTGATAGAATAACATCATCAACCCAGCAGCTGAGTTTGGAACTTCAGGGCACCTTTCATTCCTTGATTCATTCTCCTTTACCTTTTAAGTAACAGTTAAACTTTATAAATGTCTTTTTCTTTTCTCCAGTTTGGCAAACTATCATACATAGATGTTTTATCAGCTTGATTGAAGTATCATTGGTGTACAATAAATAGCACAAAGTTAAAATGGCAATTTGATGTTTTTGCTTATGTAAAACTTACAGTTATGCACCAATGAAGTAATCACCAGAATTAATAAACGTGGCTATCACCCACAGAAGTCTTCCCCTGCCCCTTTGTGTTTCCTCCACACTGGCCCACCCCTAGGCAAGCTCCGCTCTGCTTTCTACCGTGCTAGGTTTGTGTTTTCCCCAAAGCTGATCCCAATTATTCATAGATTGCTTATTTGTGAATCTGCTTATTTACTAAAATGTATATGTAACCCCCAAAATCAATATTCACAGTATTTTCAGCCATTTGCAAAAATGCAAAAAAGAAAAAAAATTAAGTTGCCGATGTACACATTCCTGGATATGGTAGAACAAGTCTTGTCTTAGCTTTGCCGTTTCTTAGTGTCGTGTCTTCAGTCTTATGCTTTTCATGAGTGATTTTGCTACCTAAAATGGCTCCCAAGGGTGACACCAGCAAGATGACTGACTAAACGTGTCTGGTGTCATTCCCTGTACAACAAAGAACCAAAACAAAGAAGAGATGTGTTTCACTGGAACATTTGAGGCAGAGCAGTGGAATCAGATGTTGCAGAACAGAGATACACGATGCCCTTATGAAGAAGGGAACCAAGCACAGCATCTCCTGCGCAGTCACTCTAGGCTGAGTGGCTCAGCCCTGCAGAGGTCCCTGGGAAACAGCTGGCCCCACACATCCTCCTGCTGCCCTGGAATCAGCCACACATTCCTACCTACCCATCATCAGCCCCAGCAAGCAGCCCAGCAACCAGCCTGGAGTGGCTTATCTCTGAAGACACCTTGGAATCAGATGTGCAGCCCCACCTAACACTCTAAGAAGCAGCCAAGGGCTGGGGATTTAGCTCAGCGGCACAGCACCTGCCTGGCAAGTACAAGGTCATGAGTTCAATTCCCAGTACCGGAAAAAAGAAAATAAGAAGAAGCCGAGAACCCTGCCCTAAGTACTTTGGTCTATAGAGCCCCAAGGAAAAAGTTGAGTAGCCTTGCCGACCCATCCATAACTGGAAAGAGGCCAAGCAGCCTTCCCTAAGTGGCCCTACCCATTCTCTTATGGCCCCCATATAACAGCTTGTCACCCTGTCTTCACACTCCAGCACCTGAGACCCTAAGAAGCGAGTTCTCTAACATTGATGGTACTGACTACAGCTGAAGAAGCTACACAAAGACTACAGTAAAGCACCTACCTGGAACAAAAGCTAACACAGCCTGTCCAAATCCCTCCAACAGTGGTGGCGAACCTATGGCACATATGTTATCCATGTTTTTAAGATGAAAGATGTTAATGTATGAGTTGGGTTTTTTTTTTTCCTAAACTAAAACCTCAATATTCAGCAATATTCAGGTTTAATTGCAGCATTGGCACTTTGTGGTAAGTCAGTGGGTTTGGGGTTGTAGTTTGGGCACTTGTCTCTGAAAGGTTCACTGCCCTGGGACATCACTCCCCTGGGACATATTATCAGGGGAAAGTCTTTTATTGTGAAAGACAGCCTATAAAATTAGTAGTCAGCTACTTTGATACACAAACATCAAAGTAAGGACACAAGAAACATGAAAAAACTAGGTAATATGCTTGCAAAGGAACACAGTAGCTTCTTAGTAAGAGACTTCCAGAAAAATGAAATTGATGAATTGCCTGACAAAGAATTCAAGAAACTTATACCAGAAATGAAGCTCTAACTACCATCATGAAAACACCTGAAAGTGTAAAACTTGTTAACAGAGCAGATGCACAAAAACAGAAGAAAATCAAACGTCTCAGTACATAAGCTAATCCAGAGAAGAAGGGAGCAGAGGGCATACAAGATAAGAAAAATGAAAACTAACAGAATGACAAGAGTATGTCAGATCAGTAACACTGAATGTAAACAGATTATGTCCCCCAATTAAAAGATAAAGACTTCCTGAAGGGATATAAAAACAAGGCCCAGTGATGTGCTGCCCATAAGAAAACCACTTCACCAGTAAAGGCATGCATAGGCTGAAAGTGAATGGATGAGAAAAGGTAAAAACCTCAGTGAGCAGGAGTAGCTGTATTTCTCAAATAAAATAGACTAAGTCAGAGATCTTTCTAAAAAGACAAAAAGGTCACTGTTTAATAATAAAAAGATCAATCAGCAAGAAGAAATTTTTAAAATTTAAATATATATGCACCCAACACTGAAGCACACAATTGTATAAAGCAAACATCATTATATCTAAAATGAGATGGACTATCATATAGGAATAATGAGACTTAAATACACCTTTTTTGCCAGTGGGCATAGCTACATTAAAAAAAATCAAGGAAACATTGAAGTACAATTACACTGTAGACCAATGGATCTATCATATTTACATAATATTTCATCCAACAAGTACAAAATATACTCTCCAAGATAGAGTTGATGTCAGACTACAGAATAAGCCTTCAACAATTTTTGTTTGTTTTTGTTTTTCTTCTGGTACCAGGAATTGAACTCCCGACCTTGTGCTTGCCAGGCAGGCACTGTGCCACTGACTGAAATCCCCAGCCCCATGCCTTCAACAATTTTTTAAATGGAAATCATAGCCTGTATCTTCTCTACTAGAGTAAAACTAGAAATCTACAGAGGAACTTTAAAAATTGTACAAATACATGGAAATTAAACAATATTTTCTTCAATGACTAGTGAGTCAGTGAAAAAATCAAAGGACACGTTTAAATATTTCTTGAAACAAAAATGAAAGACAGCATACCAAAACCTATGCTGTGGGATTCAGCAAAAACAATACTAACAGATGTTTATAGCAGTTGAGTACCTAAATCAAAGAGAAATATTCTGTACTATGTGTTTGGGAAAGATATCTAGAAGGGAGATGGCTGGGTCATATGGAATTTCTAATTTTAGTTCTTTGAGAAATCTTCATACTGATTTCCATAATGTTTATACTGGTTTACATTCCCACCCACAATGTAGGAAGATTCTTTTTTTGCTGTAGCCAGGCCTGCATTTGTTACTTTTTGATTTCTTGACAATGGCCATTCTTTCTGATGTAAAATGGAATCTTTTAATTTGCATTTCTCTAATGGTCAGTGATATTGATCATTTCTTCATGTATTTATTAGACACTTCTACTTCTGTAAAGTGCCTGTTCACTTCACTTGCCTATTTTTTGATTGAGTCTTTTCTTTAGGGGGGGGCTAATTTTGGGGGGTTCTTTATATATTCTATTTATTAATCCTCTGTCTGAAGAAGAGCTACCAAAAAAAAAATATTTCCCAGCTTTAAATTGTGTTTTTACTTTGTTAGTTGTTTCTTTGACTGTGCAGAAGCTTTTTAATTTGATATGATCCCATTTGTTGATTCTTGGGACTTAGAGTTTTACCTATTTTGTCTTCCAGGAGGTTAAGTGTTTTTAAAGTTATATTAACATCAAAGTGTGCATTTTATAAGATGCAAGTCAGTGTTTCAGTGTGTTAAATCAGAATTTAATTAAAATACTATTTTGAGCTTGGAAAAAAATTAGCACAAATAAGCAAAGAAAGAATCACTGTGTGGATGGCAGAATTGGCTGCCTGCATCTAGATGGGTAGCTCTGCTCGACTTTATACAGGTGCCTTTAAACACAGAATGGTCTTCCAAGGACCAACCTTCTGTTATCCTTACTCTTCTGCAGCATTTCTACCACAAAGTCTGCTGACCTTTCTCCTGTGGTCACTTGGTAACTGAGCCTCCTGCTGCCTAAGAAAGAAATAATAAAGCCTAATAATAGCAAATAGCGATTCTGCTACTCATTGCCTTAGAGCTTTGGCATAAGAAGCAGATTTCAATTAATCTTGAAAGTGAATCTCAAAATATGCATGGTTGTGCTGAGTGTGGTCAGGTTTTCCTTTGATATTCTCTGCCCAGCAGAGCATTAAAATGTCAGGCTTGTTCCAATTTGGGTTGAAGAACATCTTGCTCTACTTTTGTCGTAGTTCAGATAATTTTAGCATTTGTGGATTCATTCTCACTTTATAGTTATCCACTAACTTTTAAAAAAAGGAATATATCAAAAAATGGGGTTTGAGACAAGACTCATAAAATTCCTTTGATTGTCTTTCTTTTTTATTTATGGGGTAACTGTTCCAATTATAGGTTCAAAGTCATCTCTTGAAAAGACTAAAATCATCCTGAATTACAGCTGTGTAACAACACTACCAATTCTCTCGTTTATTTAGATGATGAACTAGTGGATGTTTCCGCATCTGTCTTACCAGAATTGAAAAGAGAAACATATGGCAAGATTCAAGTCTGTGCAAAACAGAGGCTGGCTCGTTATGGTTCCTTTAACACAGTTCAGACATCTGAAAGGATAGAGAGGAAAGTGATCTCAGAACCCAGCAGCCCGTACAGAGAGGAACAAGGTATCCGCCCCTGCTTACTCCCTGTGATCCATCAGGTGCCATGAAATTGTAGCCTGACCCATATGCTGACATTTTAAAATGATCTGATTCTAGATCCTGCCTATTTTTTCAGAGATCTGCTTTTCACTTGCCTGAAGTAAAACAATTATTGGCAGCAAAGGAGATGCTGACTGCACAGTGTGTGAACATGGCCCCACGCCTGAAATTGATCCAGTCAGTCTTGAACAATTGGTTTGCCATGGTTGGCCTGTTTAATATATCTCAGAAATTCTTCAGACTGACAAGCAGCACTTATTTTGGTTTTGGCTTGGTTTGGTTTCTTATTCATTCTTAATGAGACCTGAATTTGCCATTTGAGAAATTTTTCTCTTTGAATCAAAGCAAGAACAGATTTGAGATAATCTTCTAATCCCCAAATTACAAGTAATACAGTCCGTGGCAAGAGGTGTACCTAGGGCTCTTGCCATATTTGTTAAACCTTCCTTTTCCTTTTCAGAATCAGGTGGTTATTCCTTAGAGATTGGAAGTCTAGCTGCTGTCTACAGGCAGAAAATAGAAGACAATTTACAGTAAGTAGTCTTTCTGTTTACCGGTGTTAATCTTGACTCAAGTGATGTGTCATCCCTCAAGAGAGAAACTTTAAATCATCCATTTTTTAAAATTAAGAATTGATAAATTTTCCCTTTGTTCCCAACTGTGTAGTATCAGTAATGCAAAAATATGAAAAATGTATCCTCTAAGCTATGAAGGTTAATAGAAAGAGAACAAAATAAAAAAACAAATACACTGATTTTAAAAAAACATCACACTGCCGGGTGTGGTGGCTCACGCCTGTAATCCCAGCACTTGGGAGGCTGAGGCAGGAGGATCATCATGAGTTCGAGCCAGGCTGAGCTACAAAGTAAGCTCAAGCCCAGCCTGAACTTCATAGCAAGACCCCGCTTCAAAAAGACCAAAAAAAAAAAAAAGAAAAAGAAAAAACATCATACAAAACGTCACACAAACATCCCATTGAGAAATAGTGCGTCTCAGTCCATGGATCATTTTGTCGTCATCATAGCTAACTTTGCATACTGCGTACCAGGTGCTACCTCAGTGTTTATAAACCCATCTGGTCATAATCCCGTGAGGCTGCCCCCATTGTCCTCATTTTATAGAAAGGAAACTAAAAGAAGTTAAGTAACTTGCCCATGGTCAGACTGCTGCTAAGTGACAGAGGTAGGATTCAAATCCAGACCATCTGCTTTAAATTTGAGATCTAATTTTAAAACAAATCCATATATAACCTGAGAAAGCAGGGGAAAAAAACACTAAAAAGGGAATGAGAAAGGTTCTTAATGAACATCTGATAAGAAAGAGATTGTGAGTCGGGGTCAGAGAGTAGATGGACAAAGCCTGACTCGTTTAGCTGTCATGATTTGTCTGAATAGGATAGTAAAAGGAAATGTCATTTGAAAGGGGTTGGGTATAGGCCAGATGAGCAAAAAAGTATTCAAAGCTAAGTGGAAGCATTTAGATTCAACAGACAGACCCTGAAGAACAAATCCACTGGGGAAGATCCTTCTGGCTGCTTTAAACAGGTGAGACTGGAAGTAGAGAAGGGCTCCTGATGATCAAGTAGGTCACCAAACAGGGCCTTGGTTGGTGGTAGTTCTGGTCTACTGACGTACAGATCTGAACCATGTCAGCCAGAGAGGGAAAGAAGGGAAAGTAGTGTAAGACAGCCGACTCACTCCAGGAGAGGCATCAGAAAGAACATCTGGTCAGGTGTGGTGGTACACACCTACAATCCTAGCACTAGGGAAGCTGACGCAGCAGGACTGAGGGTTTGATGTAGCCTGGGCTGTAAAGTAAGTTCAAGGCCAACCTGAAATAGAAAGCAAGTCCCTGTCCCCAAAAAAGAGAAAGAGGAAAAGAGCGAGGACATCTGGGGCGTATGGTGGTGGCAGCTTTGCTGGCGCAGCTGGAAGGGTGAAGACCAGCGGCTGGCATTGGGTACTGGTTGATACACTCATTGTGGGTCTGTTGAGTTTCACAGAGCTGAGTAATGCGATGCCTCACTTAGCGAAGCCATGGATAGAGAGGCGCACTCTTCCTTAGAGCCTAGTGCACTCCATTTTGTTCCCGCAGCAAAATGCAAGATGAGAAAGCGGGCAGAGTGGGCCTCGGTGCTCCCATCAGAAGGGCGACAAGAAATCTGTCTTCCCTAGCATTTCTTAAAGGATTTCCCTCTTCTCTTCCCAAAAATGTACTAAAAGCATAAACATGTTCTTAAATATTTGGAGTGTTTTTTTAGAAAAGGCCCGGACACTGCCTATAATCTGATATATGAATGGGATTTAATTTTGAATGTCTATTAAGAATTCTGTAATGGGAGCTGGGGATTTAGCTCAGCAGCACAGCGCCTGCCTGGCAAGCGCTAGGTCGTGAGTTCGGTTCCTGGTACCAGTGTAAAAAAAAAAAAAAAAAAAAAAAAAAAACCTCTGTTGGGGCTGGGGATTTAGCTCAGCGGCAAAGGTGCCTGCCTGGCAAGCGCAAGGTCCTGAGTTCGGTTCCTGGTACCGGAGAAAAAAACAACAACAAAAAAAAGAATTCTGTAATGATACTGAGCAGCATGGGACAAGAATGAGAGTAATTACTTAGTAGATGAGTTTATTTCTTTATTCACGGTTCTCTTCGTTTATTTGACACTTGATCTGAGACATCCGAGGCTAACCTTTCTCTAAATCAAAGTCTGGTCCGGTCTCTATCATCTGTCCACAAACGCTGCCACCGAACAGCCCGAAGAGTGTGTCCCCGCTCCTCACTGGGTCGGTCTCTGAGGAAGGTAGAGTCGGGATGGAGAACCTGGTCACTTGGTGGTGCTCACTGTGTTTCCTTTCATTACAGGGAAAGTGCCTCTGCCCGTGAGAGAGCGGTGCCTACTGCAGGCAGCTCAGACCCCGGCCTCCCTTTCGACTCTGAATACTGTGTCAATCCATTAGCCCACCAAGTCTTTTCTGTTGCTCAAACAGACTTGCCAGCACTCTCCCTGCAGACCAGTCTTAGTGGGCAAGTAGGCATGTCCCTTGCTCCAATGTCCTCTGACGGGGAGAGCATAAAGCCGGCTCTGCTTGCCGGCCAGCCCCTGATGTACGTGCCCTCCACCTCACTGTTCATGCTGTGTGCAAGCCTGCGAGAGGGACCATCCCTAGAGTCGGGGTCGGAGAGGGACGGCAGAAGCTCGGGGGTCCCAGCCACAGCAGAGCTGTCCTTGGCCCCCTCCAGTCAGAAGCGCCTCTGTGAGGACAGGAAGCCCCTGGAGGAGCACGAGCCTGCCTCTAAAAGACAAAGTCGGGAACTTGAAGACAGCCCCCTATCCCTGGTCATGCCCAAGGTGAGGGGGCATGGGTGAATGTGTCTGGTGCCTTCCCAGTAACCCTGAAGGCACAGAGTTACACATAAGATGCTAATAAGACCCAGACTGGGCAACTCTGCTAGGGCACTATCTTTAATCCCTAGTACCACAAAAAGGGGAGAATTACAATTCTTTTAAAATGTCAAAAAGTATAAAAAAGAAGAAACTTTATTCACTAACTTACCACATAGTGGCAGCCGCTGATAATATTATTTGTTTAATTCTCCTCAGTCTCTTTTGCATACCTTTCAAACAAAAATGTTAGATTCACTGCCACCGTCATCTCAGCCCAGGTCACAGCTGAATTTCAGAGCTGGGGACAGGGGTGCTGGCTGACGGACCAGCTGGCTGGCAGTGCCTGTACTGTTCAGTTCTCTTCACCCAACAATACCTTTTCCCTGATTCCAAAATGAAGAGAATAAAAGCATGAGCTGTCTGCATCTCCCACTTAGCAGCCATGCAGAGGTCAATGACCTGTGTCCAGTAAAACTCTCAGAAAGAGAAGCACCTCTATCACAACAGTCTGCCATGGGTCAGCTGGGCACGCCACACGGAAATCATCCATTCATTAAGAAGCTTGCTCCTAGATGCTTTTTTTCTTGCCAGAATGCATTTTTCTAATTCGGTACATAGCCCGGGGTTGCAGATCAGAAGTGAAAATCTGACAAGCATATGTCTTAGACAACCAAGAAGGCTTTGGGCCAGCCCACAATTCTTAGAAGGCCCCAAAAGCTAAAAGCATCAACACTCTTTATGTGTTACCAGCTCAGAAACTTATTTCATAGGCTAAACACCATGGCCAGATTTCCATTATCATTTCTATATTTAGGAATCACGAGCCTGCAGTACACATGGAGTGACATTCATCTTCACACAGTCCTGTAAGCAGAACGTGAACAACTGATGTGCATGCATCGCCGTGGCGCACGGCTGTGTTTTACCTTTCTGTTTATGTGTTAGGTGCTTTGAAGAAAGTGTCGTGAGATTGATTGCTGGAATTCTGACTTGCTTTTATGTTTCCTGGTTTGGTTACACTTAGAAGCCTTCCGATTCGAGAGACCTTGCCTCTGCCAAGACTATGGGAAGCAGGGGCTCTGGGTCCCTGGAAGACACTCACGGGAATATTCCACACCCTGCTGCAGAAGAGGCTTCTGGAAATGCTACCGCAAACTGCTTTGTCTCTTCTGAGTGTGGAAATCCTTCAAGAAACACAGATACTGAAAAGCCTTCAAAAGAAAGTGAAAGCACCAAAGAACCATCTTTGCTGCAGTATCTGTATGTGCAGTCCCCACCCGGTAAGAGGTGTCATCGTGGCTTTGTGACCTGTATTAGTCACTTCCTCATCACTGGGATAAAATACTTGACCCCTAAAACTTAAAGGAGGAGAGGTTGATTTTTGGCTCACGGTTTCCACAGTCAGCCAGCTCTCAGGCAGAAACAGCAGGGTGGAAAGGCCTGGCAAAGGAAAGCTGCTCAACCTGTGGCTGCCAGGAAGCAGAGGGAGAAGATTCGAAACGAGATACACCCCCCAGGGTACACCCCTAGTGACCCCCTTTCTCCAGCCAGGCTGCACCCGTAACCACACACTCAGCTAGAATTCATCCGTGGATAAACCCACTGATGGGTCTGTCGTCCCCATGATCCAGTCACCTTCCAAAGCCCCTTTGAACACATGACACTTGTGATCCAAACCATAAGAGGTCCCCTATGGGATACTGACCATCAACTGGGTTTTTTTTTAGTTTTGTCTGTCACTGACCAAAGAAAGCAAGTTCGCTGAGATACTGGGGTCTGCTGCTTCTGAGTCATTTTGCACTTACCCTTGTTTTGATTTGGATTTGTTATGATCTGCAGCAAAAGGGATTGATGTTTAAAACCACTTATTATCTTCATGAACTTAAGCTGAGCGTTCAGCCCACCTCATTGGTACAGCAGCAACAATAGCACCTGCTTCATAAGAGTGCTGTGAGCCTGGCGTGGTGGCACACGCCTGTGATCCCAGCACTCAGGAGGCTGAGGCAGGAGGATCATTGCAAGTTCAGGCCAGTGTAGGCTACAAAGTGAGCTCAAGGCCAGCTTGAACTGCATAGTGAGACCCTGTCTCAAAAAGACAAAAAAAGAAAGAAAAAGAGTGCTGTAAACCCTGAATTAGATTTAATATGAAATCTAAGGGACTTAAAATATCTGGCACCTGGATAGTAAATGCTGTTACTATTTCAAATGACAACTGAAATATAGTAGAAACCTAATTATTAAGATATTTTCTATAAAGCGCTCTTACATTGATTCCCTCAGTTTCTTGTTGATTTTAGCCTACCAAAATAAATACGGTAAGCATCTGTTATTATTCACTTATCATTTCTTTAGCTTTGGATGCTTAGTTGAGCGTGGTATTCAGTGTTAGGATTACTTTGATTTGCAAAATCAGACCCAGCTACTGCGCAATGGAAATTAGAGCTCAGCACAGAGATTTTTATTTTTTCTGAGCCATCAACTACTAGACAGACTGGAGAAGCCTGTGGTTCCTTTCCACAATGTTCACAAATGCAGAGCATGGAAAACATAGGATTACGAAGAGCCAATTATACTGAAGAACAAGTAGAACAGTAATTTTTGAAATTATTTGTAGTCATGAAAAGATCTGGCAACAAGTCCAAAACTGCTGTCATTTCCAAGTTGTGCTAAGTTACAGTAGAAATCTACCATAGCTAAAAAATGTGAACATATTTCTACTTTTTACTTAGGACAAAGTCAAAATACTTTTAATACTGCTCTGATTTGTGGCCTGTGATAATCTTTGAGGAAATAGAAATTTTTAGTTAGAAGTTGATAATAATAAAAATAATTTTCCGATCCAAGTTTGAATTTCCTCCTCCTTTTGGGTTCAGTGGAACTTAGCAGTAGAACCTTCCCCAGGCATCTCGCATGTGATCATGCAGGTAAGTGTCAGAGCACAGTCCTGACCGCTGACGTGAAGGAACCGTGTAAGCTGAAGAGCGTAGATGGGGGTCTGACTTGATGGGGTGGGAGAAGGTTCCATCCTTCACTGATTTATCACGGACTCCTGTTAGAAAGGGCCGTGAGGGACGTGAGCATGAATGGAATCCTGTGCTGTATTGATTTTCTTTATTCTTCCGTTTCAGGATTAAATGGTTTCAATGTGCTCTTCTCTGGCAGTCAAATCCCCCACACTGTGGGACCATCCTCAGGTCAGCTGCCGCCCTTCGGTGTTCCTTGCATGGTCCTACCGTCTCCGCCTGTGGGCCCTTTTCCTGTTGTCTATTCTGCAGTGCCCGGGCCGATTTCTTCTGCACCTGGCACTCTCCCAAACACAGGACCTGTGAATTTCAGCTTGCCTGGCCTTGGACCTACAGCTCATCTCCTCCTCAACCCTGCAGCCATGATTAATCCGAAGTTATCCACACTCCCTTCCGCAGACCCTCAGCTTCAGGGTCAGCCCTCATGGAACCTGAGTCCAGTGATGGCTAGGTCACACAGCGTCATCCAGCCTGAGTCCCCTGTGTGCGTGGGACATCCAGTGTCAGTCGTAAAATTAGAACAGGTGAGGCCTGCAGGCTCCTCTGTAACTGGTAACTAGTTCTCACGGTAGTAGCATGGTTGAAGGGTAGAGGTGTTAGGACACGCTCTCCCCGGCTTCCATGGTGGACCCAGAATTACCTGTTTCTTTTACAAAGCGCTGAGATACTAGGTGAGCGATCTTGTGCTTTACAGCTAAAAATACTTTTTTCATCATTCTATTTCCTACATAAAATCAGCCCATCTTAGGCACTTAAATGAAGGTAGATTTTTGAGGAACACTGCATGTGTAGGTTTTTGAGGAACACTGCATATGTAGATGTCTTCAGTGATCTCCCAAGCTTTCATTTCATTAGGTCATTTAAGGAAACGATCGTGAATTTTAATTACATAGCATAGACTCAAGGGAAACAAATCTTGATACTAACTCAGATCCTTAGCATCTTTCTTAAAATGTGATGTCTAGGAGGTAATGAGTATGTATACATTTATTTATAAAAATATGCATACATAAAAATGGACCTATATAATAAGTATAAATGCATCTGTTGTAGTTGTCCCTCATACTCAGTAAATATTTGCTTAATTCCTATAACATAAAAGGTATTATTTGGAGTTATTACTTACTCCAGAAAAAATTCTTTTAGACAAGTTACTCAAAGGGTCAGAAGTATGCTGAGTATTCAAGTAATTGTGTGAGGTCTTCAAACAAGATGATGATGACGTAACCTTTTTTGCAGTGCTGTGGAATCGAACATGCTAGGCAAGCGCTCTACTACTGAGCTCTGTCTCCAACGCCAATATGTGCTTTTTCCCACAAATTGTGAGCCAGTGCTAATCTAGGCACTGAAGATAGAGCAGGATAATGGCCCCTGCCTTTTTAGGACATGTTAAGGATAAACTTAGCATGAGAGGATAAATATTAGTAAGTAAACAAGAAGAGCATGCATGTACAATTACTGTTTGTTTCATGTGCTCTAAAGTGTTTGACAAAGATCATGTTGTTCAATTCTTACAGCCCTTGGTGTTGCTGCTTCTGTCATCTTCACTGCACTGATGAAATAGCTAAGGGATAAATGGGTTAAGTGATTTGCCCAAGGTCACACAGATGGGACAGCCAGACCCTGGCCATGTCTGTAACCTCTTTGTTAGGTGGCCTTTCCTCACCCAGAGTAAGCAGAATTTAATTTCCAGTTGGGGTAAGGGATGTGGAAAAGATAGAAAGGATGAGCCTGATAGGAAAACAAAGTCAAGAGGAGGGGATGCCTACGCAGAGGTCATGGTGACACGAGTCAAGCAAGAGCTTCGGGCTCAGAGACCGAAGAGTTTGATTTAGCTTCTGATTCTGCTCTTTTTATTTAGTCACCTGTTCCAGTGACACCCAAGAGTATGCGACGCACACACCGTGAGACATTTTTCAAGACACCTGGCAGCCTCGGAGACCCTGTCCTTAGGAGAAGAGAAAGGAATCAGTCACGAAATACCAGCTCAGCCCAGAGGAGACTAGAAATCCCCAGCAGCGGGCCTGACTAAACAGATGCTTTGGCAGGCGGGGTGGGATTAAACCACCTGAACTTCCCTGTGTCACTAAGTGGAACATAACCGTCAGTCCTCAGCTCGTGTCCTTGCTCTCTCACCGGTTCTGTCACCTTCCCAACATCGTGGATCATCTGTGTTCCTGAAAGTAGTTATTACTAATTGTGCATGTAATGCCGGCCAAAGTTAGGCTCTGCATGGTGTCACAGTGAAAGCACTGACTGACTAATGTGGTTTTGATTCAAGAATCATCTGATTCCTGGACGTAGATCTGAACAGGCTACTGGAGCCTTGTGGTTTTCCTGAAGGGGGGCTGTCTAGCACTTAAGCAGGGTAAGCACTCTCGACTTGTATTTCCACTTGCCCTGAGTAAATCTGTGGTGAGAGAACTTTCTTTCTGCAGTTTAAAAAAGCTACTGCTTCTTTAGGCTTCATCGGGAAGCCACCTTCAGTTATGAATCCTATGGTATTATTTATTTTGTTCCTAAAATGGGATTTAGTGCAAAGAGTTTACAACTACAGCCTAACACATACTTTTCAGGGTATGACGACTTGAATGTTTGTACTTTTTCCTCTAATTTGCCCTGCACTTATTCTATACGTGACAGACGTCAAGACCAAAATAACCAAATGACCCACCTGGCTATAACTGAACTGTGCTAACCCAATCCGGTCATGAGAACTAAGGTGAAGCCTAGGCGCCTAATGGCTGCTGCTCAAATAACAGGAGAACAATGAGGTTTTACTGTTCGCTTAAAAATTCTACTGTGCTCAGTTTCCTTTATGACATGGCCTATGGGGTGTTTTTTTTTTTATTTAAATGTTAATTGTAGAGTATCAGGTATGGATGCCTTTTAACAATCGTTTGTAAAAATGAATTGAGATGGTAAAAAGTAATCACTTGGAAAATCAGCCTGGAGGGGACTTTTTGATTGAAATACTGAGGAGTAAGGGTATAGAAACCGATGTAGTCAGTAAGTGGTTCTCCTGGGTTTCTTTTTTTAAACTTGCTTTCTTCTTTCAACCCTTTAGAAGGGTAAAAGGAAAAATGGGCGCATTATGTTCCATTGCTGAGAAAATTCGAACCACAGTTAAGTGGTATTCCCCCCAGTGAGTGCAGAGGGTCATTGTTCTAGCACAAATACCATTCTGGAAACTGTTATGCAATATCTCTTTATAAACCAGATTACTTTAGGGGTTCATTAAGAATCCGAACTACTCCACTGTATTCTGGATTTATTGATATTTACTTCACTCATTTTTTCAGATGGCATCCTTTCTTCATTCCCTGTCTAGTTCATTTTTTTCTTTTCTTCCTTTCTTTGTTCTTTTCCTCTGTTTGTTAAACTTTTCTCTTCGATTTAGAGCCTTAGTATAGGGCTATTTTTTAATTTCTGGTTTTGGGCCCAATAAAATGTTATATGAAAGAATAAAAGTATTAATTTAAAAGACTCTGCGAGTCTGAGTAAAGTAGCTTTATGTGAACTACAGGATACTATTAGCCTTATGACCCTGACAAGATTTTTGAAAACTTAAGGTAGGTAGCCAGATTAAATGAATTTGCTACTTATGTCAAATTTTATCAACACTAAACTTTTAAAGTTTACAAGGTGGTATTTTCTTCCCTTTTTTACAATCTTCTCTGAAGTTAGCTTAAGAATGTGATTCCAGCCATCAACAACTGCATAGTAGTGAATACTCTGAACTAATACTGATAGTTGCTTATCAAAACAAATGAAAATACGAGTTTTCAGGTAGATTACAGGATAATGCAGCATATAAATCTGGGCAGGGTATGTACATTTTAAATCTATCTCCTTAAAAACTTCCACAAAATATACTGAAAGGGCAGTGTTTAGATGGAAGCAAATTGCCCCCCCGCCCCCGCCCAAGTTCCTGGATATGCTCTACTTTTCCTTTTCTTTAATTCTCTTTGTAATCTGACTGTGCTATTAGAATCCATCCTTCTTGAGGTGTTAAGAAACAATCCCGCAAAAGAGAATGTGACCGCTTTGTGACCACACATGGCAACAGAAAACTAAGAAATATGGCTTTTCTATTCTGTACCTAGTGCTTAAGGTGGCTTTAGGATATGTACAAATAATCAGTGGTTGGTTCTGTCGGGAAAATGGTTCTCTTACAGAACAACTGATGATAGTGAAGCTGCTAAGCTAGATTTGGATATTGGGGTAGGGAAGAAGCAATGGCAATCTTGAGTCTATCATTGTATAATTTAGTGAAAGAAGAAGATGATTGTTGGTGATCCTGCTAAGGAGATGCAGCTGAGTCAGCACTGAGGATGTGTGTGCCCTACACTGTCCAGGGTTTGTGAAACCCATTTGTTCTGGTACAAGAGTTGGGGGTATAACTTTTATACTTGAATCTACCTACCGAGTTTACATTCTTCAATTCCTTTTTGTAAGGTGCTATTTCTGTATTTAAATAACTTTTTTAATGTAAAGCTGCTTTCTGCTTATCCTATTGCACTGCTAGCTTTATGTAGGAATTAATTTTATTGCTGCTTACTGCTCTGTTCTCATATCATTTAGCTCTGCTCTTATTCCTAGTAGCTATACTGTCTTGAGCTATCTACTTGTAACTTTCCTACATGTAAACCAACTTTGTTCGTTTAGAAAAATACTAAGCTTTATGAAATAGTAATAAAAATAATGCCTTTAGTAAGAGATGCTAGTCGTATTTTTTTTGATGGGCTTTCTTTATATACCATCTGCTTAGAACCATTAACAACTGCACCTATCCAGACTGACCTTTCAAAAGCCAAGTTGCATCTTTGCTGAGACCTTCTAGAGGGTTCCAAAGGCCAAAGATCCCTGCATCACAGTTACACAGAGCTTGAGAAGACTGAGGGACTGTTCCACTTGGCTTCTATTTTCTACTGAGTTCATGTTGCTGCCAGATGCCTCTGAGGCCTACCCAGTGTGGGAGTCAGAGGCAGGCGGAACACTTCTCTGGCCTCTTGTAGTGTCCACGCTAGGTGCTTCTCCACTTAGCAAACGCTTACCTTAATGCCAAGGTTTATTAGTCAGACTGATTGTGATTTCCCCCAGCTTTTTGTATGTCCAGAGAGTCATCCATGTTGCACTGCTCTCGGCTCCCCCTGCCAAATCAAGTTGTGAGGGGAGACTGGCAGGTGTCCCAGCTGTTCACGTGGACAGCTCCTCAAAGGACTCGTCTTGGGATGGAGTTTGAACATCCTGTGATGTAAGCAATACATTTTCCTCCAGCTACCATTGTCCGGTGACTCAAGTCCACACCACACACACCCATGCAGGATATGAGACAGTCTCCATGAGGCTACCGTCAGTGCCCTTTGCCCTAATTGTAAGAAAACCTAACCAAACCTACAGCAGCCTCTTCCTTCACTCCCAAAGCTGGTGACCCCCTAACTCCCCCACACATGTCAGATACCAAGAGCACATTCCCTGTTGCTTGAGACACAGGATTTAGTAGTTATATATAACTGGTTTTACAAAACTCTTACCAATTCCACGAAGTCCAGCAACTTTAGAACGCAGCATTTACAAGCTCACCATTTAATATCCTATCACAACAATTACAGGCATCCATTGTCCAGGGTTTGCATGTCGTTAGGGAATGGTTCTAGCACTTGCTGTTTCATATTTATCAAAGTAATTTTGGAGAGCTATTGTTTTGGCATTAAAATTTGATTATGTCCTTTCTACTTGGCAATGCTTCCAAATTTAAGAAATTACACCTATGCTAAAATCATTCTCTTTGCATTTTCCCACATCTAAATCTATTTTTATAAATAGTCCCCTAGCCTTCAATTTGACTGACTCGTATAGAAGCAGCCAGTCTCCCGACCTGCCCTGAAGAACTCAGCCACCCACGAGTATTAAAAGTCAAAAGTGAGTAGTTCTGAGAAAATAAAATTGTAAAGTTAAGTTTTTACTGTAATTTTTACTAAGGCTTAAATTCATAGGAAAGTATATGTACAATTTTTTTTTGTACAATTTTTTAAAGCTAGGTTGATTATGAGACCATTTCAGTAGCATTTTACAAGATTGGATTTCATCAGAAGGTACTTTGAGAAGCAATGGATCAATCTTCCAAAACAAACTTCCAAAATATCCTTATTTTTCCCTGAAAAAAAAAAATGATAAAGATTAGCTTCTTAAGGGCAGAGATCACAGATGACTTATATCTCTGTTCACGGTGCGTGTTACAAAATGTACACCGAATAAAAAGTTGGAGAAAGAATACTGAAGGGATGGATTACCACAAATATTTTTAAAAAGCTCACATCACACAGTCCCACTGTGTGTAGTAGCTATTTAATAAATTATTGCCATATAGCTTGGTGGGATTTTTTTGTTGATGTTTTAGTTCGTAAGAATGGGCTCCATTGTGCCACCAGTGTTTACAAAGTAATTTTTTTTTTTTTTTTTTTTTGAGACAAGGTCTCACTATGCAGTTCAGGCTGGCCTTGAGCTCACTTCATAGCCGAGGCTGACCTGGAATTCACAACAATCCTGCCTCAGCCTCCCGAGTGCTGGGATTACAGACGTGCACTATCACACCTGGCTGTATAAAGTAAATTTCACCATGACAGTCCTGCTTTTCAATCCCAGAAGCATCCCACCTCTTCTTTCTTAACTCTGGCATGCCTCTCCCATCCCTTGACCATCTAGTTTCAACCTGCCTTGCCAGCTAAGGAAGGTACCGTTTTCTGACACACAGCACTCATTTCTACCCCCTTCTATCACACGGACTGGAAGCCTGGAAACTACAAATCCCAGATTCCCTTACTACCAGGTTCTAGATGTGATTTTGTCACTAAGATACATCACAGAAGACTGGTAGATGGAAAGGACACTAAGTCTGTTGTTTGCCTTACAGTAGGAGTAACTCATGCAGGAGACTGTACAGAAGCCGTCCTAGTTCAGGACTATGCAGCAGCTATATCTGCAGTTTTTATCCTGTTTCCATCCATCAGGAGAAAACAGCACTCTCACATCCTCTGGGGAACAGCAATTGACACATGATCCAAACCTACAACTACTTTTCCTTCTTTCCAGCCATTGCATAAGCACCTAACTCCCTGTATTAAAACCTTCCTGCTAGAAGCACCTAGTGTTTCTGATTTCTTCATAGAACTCAGCAGTCCTATTTCCCACTACCCCTTCCACCTCTCCCCCTACTTGCCCTCTGTTAATCACTCCACCCTCTATGCTTTTCTTAATATAATGTGTATCCGTGCATTTTTACCAGGCATGCCCTCTTCCTAAAATGCCCTCCTCCTACCTCACTTCTCTTTATCATGGACAGTCAAGTCCATGCTTCAAAACCAAATTTTCACATCTCTCCTGCAGGAAAATGAGTTGTTCTCATCACAGCATGAGACCCTCCAAGGCGGGAATTAAGATTTTCTCTGGGGCCCAGCATTGTGCTCCGCGAATCCTTGAACAGTCAAGCCAGCTGAAGACACAGTGATGCACGCCTCAGCTATCAAAGAGCTATACTTTAATAGGCAATGGAAACAGTAAAATTCAGAGCAGTGCGTCCCAAACAGTCCATGAATAAATAGCCTTACCCATCAAAGTCAAGCTGATCATAGATTCCCTCAATATTTACTGCTTCTGTGTGCACTAACAATTTTAGGGGATTTCCCTCCCTCCTTGTATCTCTGTGTGGTAATGGAAGAAAATTATAGAATTTAGTGCCCAAGAACTTTGAAAATTGTCCTATTCACAACCTTTTTTACAGAGGAAGAAATATAGAGTCTGCAAAAGAAATGTACACACACTTCAGGAAAAGAAAAACTTGTATAAATATTCCGATGCTAAATTTATTGAGACATCTTGAGATTAATACAAGTTACCTTTGGCCTCTACAATTACAAGAGGTGCTCACAGCGGTGACAGTTAGCTGCCAGACATTTGTTAGTGTGGCGAACTGCTGCTTGGGTAACCTTGGTCATTGAGATTGCTGCACATGCACTTTCAATGCATGTGGAGTGGGTTTTCTGAGATGTACAACATCCTCTAGGGTCCCCCAGATGAGGGTAACACCATCTGTTGAAAAAAAATCATACTATTTTTCTTTTCTTGAAGTGTGTATACATTTTTTTGTTGTTGTTTTAGATTCCATAGAAACAAAATGTTAAGCAACTTGCCCTGGATTGCACTTAACTTTAACCACAAAGCTGACACCAGAACGCAAGCCTCCCCAAATCCCAGTCCGGCACATCGTCCTTATGCCACACCACTCATCAAGGTATGATGTTTTAACAAAATGCTGAAGGACTGGCCCATTGAACCCTACCCCATAGGTCATCCTTACAACTTCTAAGTTGCATGAGTCTGATAGATCACAAACTTGGGTGTTCAGTCTTCTTCTGATACTAAAAATAAGACTGTGCAAGCTGAACATATACAAATCAGCCTTAACGTCTGAACTGGGTCTGGGAAGATGCACGAGAGACTGCCAGGTACAGGAAATGGGGGAGGGAGGAGGCATTTTAGACCAAGGGCATGACTGGTGTGATGGGTAGATGTATAATTGCAGTGAGCTTTACAAGTTTGTATCAAAATACTAAAAACTCTGCTTAGAAATATTTAGGGAGCACTCGGGAGGCTGAGGCAGGAGAATCGTTGCAAGTTCAAGGCCAGCCTAGGCTACAAAGTGAGCTCAAGGCCAGCCTGAGCTGCGTAGTGAGACCTCGTCTCAAAAAAAAAAAAAAAAAAAAAAAAAAAAAAAAAAAAAAAAAAGACTTAGTAAAAGTAATATTTAGTATATAATGTAAAATATTGGAAACAAAATTATTTGTAAAAAGCGTTATCAAGAGCAGTCTGAAAATCACCTCATGCAATTTACAATGAGTACGGGGCATCTTTTCTGTCTTGGTAAATGCCATACTCCTTTGTGAATTTGGATCACCTTCTAACATGCTATCATATCTAGGTTTGACGCTGCAAAATATCTGTAAGAGTTTATTCACTGCAAAGCTGCTGCAGGCCTCACTTTCTCTGAGGCATCTGTAGCCTAATCACCAGCGCCTTCCCCACTTGGGCTGGCAGTCGCCGTTAGATGATGGCAGTCGTTGTCCCCACTGTCACTGTTTCTACTGCACCAACCACATTTGTGTTCAGTTCCAATTGCATTTCCAGCGTGGTCACTTTTTAGTCTCCTTGCTTCATTCTTGTCTTGGTGGCTGTACTGTCTGTAATGTTCTGTCTGTACTGTTCCTTTGCTATTTTGTAAAATGTTGTTTGTCTGTTAATATTTTCCTCCTTTTATTTTTAAAATAAAAAAAAGACAAAAAAGAAAAGAAATAACGAGATATTTAAGTTTGTGTGTCTGATTTATTTCACTTAACATTACTGTCTCAAGATACATATATTTTCCTACAAATGTCTCATTTATACTTCTTTATGGCAAAATACTTGGACCTCCATACTCCATTGTGTATAGATACAACATTTTCTTTATCCATTCATCTGTGGATGGATGCGTAGGCTGCTTCCAAGATTTAGCTACTATGAATTGTGTAGCTATAAACATAAGTATGCATGTCTCTGTAACGTGATGTCCCTGACATTTGGAAAGATACCTAGAAGGGGAATAGCTGGGTCAAATGGAATTTCTATTTTTCAGTGTTTGAGGACTCTCTATGCTGATCCTATAGTGGTTGTACTAGTTTACATTCCCACCAACAATGAAGACTGGTTTCTTCTTTGCCATAGCCTCACCAGCATTTGTTATTCTTTGATTTCTTGATGAAAAAGCCTTTCTTTCTGGAGTGGGATGGAATCTGTGTTATTTTAATTTCCATTTTCTAATGGTCTCCAAAGACGCTGAACATTTTTTTGTGTATATATTTTCTATTTGTAATTCTGAGAAGTGACTATTCATTTCAGTTCCCCATTTTTTAATTGAATTTTTTATTGGGGGGTGTCTAATATTTTTGAGTCCTTCATATTCTCCTCAGTTCTTATAGGGAACTGGTTTACACATGTGCTGTGGTTTAAATATGGGTAACATCCCCCAAAGGCCCATATATTAAGAACTTAGTTCTCAGGGTAGCACTATTGAAAGTGGTGAAGCCTTTGGGAGGTAAGGCCTGGTAAGAAGTCCTTAGTCAAAGATGCTCAAAGGGGATTGTGAAGCCCCGTGGCTCTCTCTACTTCCTGTCTCGAGTTGTGACTTTTGCTCTGACACATGCTCCCCAACATTATCTGCTGCCCTCACCAGAACTGAGTTGATGAGTGCCATACTTGTAAACCTGCAAAACCATGAGCTAAGTAAACCTTTTCTCTTCATAAGTTAGTTGCCTCAGGTATTTTACTATAGTAATGAGAAGCTGACTAATACAAAGTTCGCTTCTAGACCTGGTAGCTCTTGTAGGATTATCTTTATTCTACTTTGACCTATCCCTGCAACTGAAGTACATGCACTCTGTGGGGATAGATTGAACAAATTCAGGATCTAGCAGGATGGAAAAGATAAGAAATAGATACTGGCTAGCAGCAACAATTTCACTATATCTCGACTGGCTTCCCTGAAGTCACATGACATCACACCATGGGAAAGAGTTCTCACTCCCTAACTTTATAAATCATCATCTACTGAGATATCTATTTCCCTTCTCTCTTTGGTCCTTATTGTCCCTTTTCACATCACTATGATTTCCTTGGAAACCAAATTACCCCTGTGGAATCTCCTGCTGGCCTTCCTCATTCAGACACAAGATCTCTCCAGGAGTGCTGTCTTTTACACTTACAAACACCAGATGACTCAGGAACTTTATACTGCTTTAAACACAGTGCAGAAGTCCAGGAAAGCTTGTGAGGTTTTTTTTGTTTTGTTTTTTTTAAATGCTCAGAAAACTATTTCAGGTAAGATTGGTCCGTACTCTAAATTTTCTGTGAACTCTGTCCCTTTGGAGCTGCCACTGAGAAAGCTTCAAGTTGGTATCAATAACAACTGGTTTTTCAAACTTTCAAGGTGACTTCAGTGAAGTATTTCACTCATTTTGAAGGCATCGATCTTGGAGAAACTGTTATACACGAAGTGATAATATAAAGGTGTTACTGTATTTTTGTCTGTTACACTAAAAAGTTATAAATAACCTAAACATGGTAAGTAAATTATAATCCTTTCACATAGTGCACTAACATCGAATAGTCTAAATGAAATACTTAGATCTATATTCAGCTACATAGATACACCTAAAATATGTACTCTTGAGTGGATGAAAGGAAAGTACACAGAAGAGATATGCAGTGCACATTATGTAAACCTTTAAAGTACTTTTGCAGCAAAGATATGAAAGGATAGGGGAAAGGAATACACACTGGTAATAGAATAGGGTTACTTTTAAAGGGAAAAGGGTTAAAATGGGAATAGGATGGGATTACTGAGAGTGTTTCAACTGCAGCTATAACATTTTATTCTATTTTAACAAAGGCACCTAAAGTCAATATGACAAGTGTTAGTAGTGGATAATTTGTGAGCTATCAGTACTATGTCTTTTCATAGTAATCTCTTATTTTTCTGTATGTTGAAGATATTTAATGAAATTAAAATACATCATTTTCATATAATAATTTTAGAAAATGATAGCCATTTGTTGTCTACAAATAAGTGGTTTCTGTATTGTGGGTTCTAGCGGTGCTGGAAGTTCTGTTGATCCGAGCACCTGCCGCCCTTTCCAGTACATCCTCACCACCGTGAGAGCCACAGCGAACTTGCTTGCTCTTAAGAAACAGTGCAAGTGACACATGGACCTTCAGAGCAGAAGTTTTGAGAGACTGCTCATTATTTTCTGATTTTTTTCCCTCTATCAGGTAGGGGCTGTTCTGTCACTCTTGAATGACAAGCAGAGTCTTAGCCAGCCTGCAATGAATATGCTCCCTGCACAGGAGTAAAAGTTGAAGATGCTGAAATTTGGGGTTGTTTGCTACCTTGGCCCAATATAAGCTATCTTGACTGGCACAATTCCAAAAGCATAATACATGGAACCAACATCACGTGTGATTTTAGGAAGTTGGAGCATTCAAAATTATAATATCTTTTCTCTAATACAGAAGATATTAAAGAAAAATAATAAGTTATTTAAACTTAGTGAATTCAGCACTGAATACTTAGCTGTGCCTCCGGCTGCCACCACCCACTTTGGCGTCAGACATACAGAAAACATCATCATCGACTGGCTTTGGGGCAAACTAGTGACTTCAATTTGGGGCGCGCAAAGACTTTTTTTCTTTTTTTTTTTTTTTTTGGTTTTTTTCCAGTACCGGGGATCGAACTCATGACCTTGCTCTTGCCAGTCAGGCGCTGTGCCACTGAGCTAAATCCTCAGCCCCAACACTTTTAAAAGGACAGATCAAGTCAAATAATGTAAAGAGAATCTGTTTTCTTTATGCGTCCAAATTCATTTCTAATCATTTCTAGATCTGTTCAGTTTCAGCTCTATCTTATGTGCCCAGGGGATCTCTGGTCAGCTGTTTCCGATTTTCTGTTCCAAGTCCTTTCTCAAGCCTGCAATTCTATGCAGTCGAAGGCTGCAAAGGTGTCCCATCCAGGGTGGAACCCTCTGCAACACCCACCACAAGGATGATCAGAAATGTATTCTTCTGGCGCACAGGGAGCCTC